TGATAAAGTGTCGTGGGAATGAATAAAAAAATGAAAAATTTGAACTGAGCGATTTTTGGAACTCAGAGATATAAAAAAAGTTCATAGATCTGGTTATTTAGCTTTTTGAAATTTTTTTCCTTCTAACTTTTTTTGTGTATTTCGAGGACTGTTTTGAGTTCAAAAACGCTTGAAAAAGTTCGAAATGAGCAGAAAAGTTTTTGATTTTTTTCAAAATTATTTTTTTGAAGATTATTACACCTTTATCTTTGAAAAGAAAATGAACTTTGGAACTACATATACTTTTCGTCTTTGATTTTAGTTTGAACTGACTTTGCTTATAGAAAATCACGTTTCAAAAGGCTTTGTCAGAGAACTCGGATATGCATGGCCGAGTTCTAAGAGAAGACGATTTTCGATGTTCCACGCGAAATGAAGAAGAACGGACCCCGTAGAGTGGAAATCTGGTTTGAAAAGAAACTTGAAAAGGAGTTCTCGGGTTTTTCTTTATCTGGAGCAACCAAAGATGATTTGAGGAAACTAGAGGAAGCTCAGGAGCTGTCAGGAATGAGACAAGTTTAAAATGAGCATTTTGACAGTTTCAGAAAAATTTTGGGGTCAATTTTTATCGTATATTTCAAAATTTAAGGAAGTGAGGATTAAAATAAAAAGAAATTGTGAATATTCTAATCCCGAAATATCTTTAGAACTACCTCTAAAAATGAGAAAAAGCTGCCTAGAGCCTCTGAGAAAGCTTTTTAAGGTGCTCAATTAGACTTTGGAAAGTTACTAAAAGCCTCGAGGGTAAATACTTGAGGGTGAAGATTTGGAATTTTTAAGAAGCTTGACAGATTTTTAAAAGGTTCCTTTTTTCAAATTTGACTTTCTTGAAAAAAACCTGGGGAAATTTATAATTTGAGATCCAAGAGTTTATCTTAACAGAAGTTCGAAGAAAGATAAATTTTTCACCTTGAGTCTCGTTTTTTTCATCGGCTCAAGAGCCCAATTTTTTTCACCTTTTTTTCATCTTTAATATATAATATTATTTATTTACAGGCAGGACAAAATAACATGTACAGAAAAAGAAAAAAATTTGGCATTAAGCCTGAAATAAATAAATAAAAGGCACTTGAGGCCCTCACGAGCCTCTGAGCCAGTAATAAAAAAAGAATAAGAGGTGAGGATTGCACAAGGGAAAAAGTAATTAGAAAAGAAAGCATTATAAGTTATGACACAGTGTAGCACAGGTGAATGAGGAATTTAATTGTTTGTGATGATATAGACGCGCATAAGATGGATGAGAGTAGGGCTGAAGCACGGGTACCTGGTTCAACGGAGACTGGTGGGAATAGTTCCGAAAAAGGAAATTATTATCGAGGGATAGTAACAAAGACCTGAAACGTTCTGGAGAAACATTGAGGTTTCCCAATGTAGCCAGTTTATTCCAAAGAGGGATGAACGTCTCAAAGAAATTTTTCGAAACGAATCCCTACTCTGATAAGACGTGATGGAGCACGTACCGAATTTGATCTCCTGAAAAACACTGTGAGAAACTGGCAAATGACTCTCCTTAATATAAATTTTTATGTAGTGTTCTTAGACAAAATTCGACCTCGTCTTCTAAAAAAAGAGTTTGTGTTAATCTGAGCTAACCTGTCTTCATAACTAGAAAAACCTAATGTTTGATCTCATGAATGTTTGGCGAGTAAATTGACGGAAGATGTTTTTCGAGGGTGTAAGATAGTTCTGAAGCTAGGGGGGACTGAACAACTCACAACAGTAGTCCATATAGGGAGCAACGTACGTAAGAAAAAAATCCGGCTCATTAGAGCGGGGAGACAGGGCGCGGAACGCTCTGATGATTTGTTTACTTTTTTTAGTTTGCATAGGGCTATAACTTTACGAAGGTGAGGCTCAAATGTTAGTTTGTTATCAATAAGAATGCCTAGATCGCGAACAGCTTCAGCGGAAGAGATAGTTATATTATTTATAGTATACTGAACATGAGGGTTGCTACGGCCTAGATGGAGAAGGGTGGTTTTGTGTTCGGCCAGGGGAAGACCCCATTGACTAGACCATTGGAAAAACGTTGTTGAGACCTTTGCTGAAGCGCTATGGGATCGTCAGAAAAAAATTTTAAGATCATCAGCAAAAAGATAGTCCTTTACATTATCAGATAAGTTGCTGATAATGTCATTAATGAATATTATGAATAAGAGTGGGCCGCAGACTGTTCCTTGTAAAACTCCAGATGTAATGTTAAAAGATGAGCTAGATATGATACCTTCCCTTTGAAGATGAGGAAGAACTTTTTTTTGAAGTCCTACTTCAAGAACAATTTGTCAAGGCGAGAAACTTCCGCACGAGTTTTTGAGCTTTTGAAAAAAGCGTTCACGACGAAAATTTAATGATTTATTGAAGAGATAGAAATTTTGAAAAGTTTGCTGGGTTTGAAGGCCAAAGGGGCTTGGATGGATGAAAAAAAGGCCCAATTTTGTATCGAGAAAATAAATTGAAATGGAAGTTGTTTCAGAATTTTACTACTGAAAATGAGAACCATCTGGAAACCAGATTTTTAAAGGAAACAGTCTCATAAGATGATTCACCTAGTAATTTAAGGTTGGAACCTGTTTTGACAGTTATTTAGAAGACTTTTTTTATAAATTATAAAACTTTTTTTCATGAAGTTCAAGAAAGGCTTAAAAACAAGAGAAATGTATGAGAATTTTTTTCAGAATGTATTTTTGTTGCCCAACTTAAAAAACTAACTTTCTAACTTCAATTTTGTCTTCGCAAATTGAAGCTTTCTGCTCATCCAAAAAATACTCACGAATAAAGAACGAGAAAGTGAATGAAAATCCTCCTCTTTAGCACCTTTCTAACACACGAACACACGTTTCGAAGCCAATTCGATTGCGGCTCACAATATAAAATGCAAAAAGTGTTAGAACTACTGGGAATTTCCACAAAAAGACGGCAGAAGAAAAAGAAAAACGGCAAAAAGAAGTAGGGGGCACCCGGAGTTGAACCGGGGACCTCTCGATCTGCAGTCGAATGCTCTGCCACTGAGCTATACCCCCGACGGCTGGTCATTGACCAGATAGTCGGCCAGTATTCCGCGCAGGATTACAGCACTGTTCGCAGTAATCTGAATGAATTTTTTTTGTTAGGGGAGTCAGAGGAGTTTAAGTGAGTTTTTGACGTCATTTAGAAGACGTGAGGATTGAAGCGAAGAAGATGCGTTCTGGGCGCGTCTTTGGCTGGGGACTTTTTCAAGTTTAAAACACAGCGGTTCTTAGCTTGAGCCTGGTTTTTTATCGGCTCAAGAGTCCAATTCTTCACTTTTTTCACCTTTGACGATGAGGAAGAACTTTTTTTATTTTGAAGTTCCACTTCAAGAACAATTTGTCAAGGCGAGAAACTTCCGCAGGAGATTTTGAAAAACGCATTATAGTCAAAAATTTAATGATTTATGGAGGAGATAGAATTTTTGGAGGAGACTGTTGAAGTTTAAAGCGAAAGAGAGTTTTTCGAAGGATCTGTGAGCTTGAAAGCCTTTTTTAAAGCTTGAATTACGAATTTATTCAAGTTCGATAGAGTTAATGTAGTTTTGAAGCTGTTTGGAACGACAAGTGGAGTTTTTGTTTATAAAACTGTTTCATTAATCTAAAAAGGAGCTGTGAAAAAAGGTATTTAGTGAATTTAGCGGAGCGACTTTTTTTCTTTAAACTACTTTTTTTTGGAAATAAAATGCACCAAGGTATGGAAAAAATTTATTTAGAAGCAGGTTTTCATTTTGAAAATCCATTAAACTTCAAATAGGCACAATTTTTAACTTTCCGTTTTTATTCTTTCTTGAGTTCGTAAACTAAAGTTCTATGATCATCTCGGAGAAACTCTGGAAGAGAACGAAAAAAAGGAAGATGAGATCTGGAAATCCTTCTCTTTCGCACCTTTTCAACGCGTTTCGAAGCGAATTCAATTACGGTCCACATTATTTCGTTGCAAAGAAGTGTCCGAACTACTGAAAAGTTCAACAAAAACGGCTGCAAAAGAGAAAGAAAAAAGGCAAAAAGGAGTAGGGGGCACCCGGAGTTGAACCGGGGACCTCTCGATCTGCAGTCGAATGCTCTGCCACTGAGCTATACCCCCGACGGCTGGTCATTGACCAGATAGTCGGTCAGTATTCCGCGCAGGATTGCGACGATGTTTGAGGGAAACTAGAGGAAATTTTTTAAAGAAGGAAAATTTATTTTTTGTTTTTGTTTTTGAAACCCTACATTTCATTTTAAAAATTTTGACTCTAGCCGGTTCAATGCGCGATGAATTATAAAATAGAATAAAATTTTCAGTTTCAATGTAATATTTCAAAGCACTGTTTCACGTATAATCAGACTAAAATTGAAATGAAGGTGACGAAAGTGTTCATTTGTACTTCTTTTTAGTCAAGGTCAAGTTTAATCTTTTTAAATTTTGCAAAGCAAAAAAATATGTAAATCTTGACTTTTTTTCGTATCTTCACGATTTGAATTAATTAAAAAGTCGACAGTAAGAATTTTTGAAGATATTCTGATTCCATTTGAAAAATTTTTTTAGTCAATTTAGAACTAATGTAAAGAAATATAATAATACAATTTTCTTTCAAAAAGAATCAACTTTTTCCGAAAAAAATCCGAATTTCTTAATCTAAAAAAATTGTCTTGTTGGGTCATTTCTTGAGCCCCGAAAACTCACTTTAATAGCAAGAATTTCTTTCAATTATATTTTTTTAAATTTCGATTGTAGTAAAAATTATTGAAAAGCACTATTTTCAAGAAATTTGTATCAAAAAGCTGTTCAAATATGGCCATTTCGCGTGGCTTTGTCCATTTTACGCGCAACAGTTCCTTTTTTTCCACAAATTTCCATTTCGCCTACTCTTTTTCTTCTTTTTTTTTCTGCTTTTCAATGCTTCATTGTTGCAATAAACAAATCAGAAAATTTTTTTGGAAAAGAAAATCTGACATTTTTTTCAGAAAAAAATGCGCTCCTATGGACGAATACTGATTTTGGCGACAATTATCATGATTTCCGTCATTTTTATGAGTTTTTTCGACGGAAAACATCGAATCAGAACTGTCAGATCTTATTTTCCTATGGAGAAAAAGAAGAAAATTGGTGAAAAGTGAGTTTTGAGATAATAGACGCCCTTGGAAAAAAAAAATGTAGAGAAACCTTTATAAAATGGCATGAAATCGAAGTATGAACTAATTTTTGAGAAATGGCCCAGAAGTGATCACAAATGGGAAAAATATTCGAAAAATCTTAACTTGGTTTTTAAAGGATCATGAACGAGCTTCTTCATGGGCAAAGTCAGTAGGGTGAAAAAAGGCTAGGAATGTTCCTTGTAGGGTGATGAAGGCTCTTTTGCTGCCTTTTTTGCGCCTGTTTCTCGGTCTTTATGCCCCATTTTTGCTGCCTCTCTCTTTCTCCACCATTTCTCGAGCTTTTAAAATCACAGAAAAATGGAAGGCTCAATTAAGGGGGCTCACTTTGCTGCCTTTTTGCGGTATTTTTTTGAGCCTCTCCCTTTTAGCGGCCATTATCCACCATTTCGACTTTGTTCGAGCTTGAAGGTCTCAATGCGAAAGGCCGTTTCAGACTTTTCGATTTTTTAGATTCCAAAATCTTTTAAAAACTAGATATAGTCGTTCTTTCCGGTAATTTTGAAGCGTTGTGTGCGATGCGGCTTTTGGCCGGGAAACTCTAGTTCGAATTTATCTATATGAAAAAAATTAGAAAAAAAGGGTTTTTTTCATTATATTTATACTCAATCCGTTCAAATAAATCTTATCAAACTTATAAAAAATATACGATTCATTGAAAAAACTGTCGAAAAAGTAGAAAAAAAGGCGGCTTATTTTTGACCTTGAGCTTCCCGCCAAAGGCCTCGTCGCACACGCGACGCTTCACTTCTGATAATCTATCCATATCGTTTTTTAAATTCGGGAAGGATTGACTATAAAAACAAATTCAGGGTTGATTTTGCATAATCTCTGATAATGATTGAAAAAAACCAGAAAAAAAGTAGGTTTTTCGTCTGCAGTTAGAAACAGGTAGTTGGTTTATCAAACTCTTATTATGCTTTTTTTTATTTTTATTTTTTTATTTTTTTATTACAATTTATATAAAACTAATTTATACTTTTTTTACTCTCAATTTTCAACCTTCCCCAGAGTTCCGATAGCCCCCGGGGCTGTCATTAAGCCAAGCGGCAAGTGGATCGTCGTCACCAGCGTCAATCCTCCGACCAATGACGTCATCGTGAGTTGATGACGTCATGCGTCGCGTACGCGCCGCGGCTCCAATCCTTTTTCATTCAGAGACTCGCCTCTTTCCGAGAATGGAACTTGGTAGTCGTCGGGGACACGAAAACCCCAAAAAATTGGCATCTAGACGGAGTTCACTTTTTAGATGTCGATTTCCAGAAATCGCTTGGTTTTGGGGTTGGTTTTTGAAAGGATTTTTGAATATCATTTTTTTTTTCTCGAGCAAGCCATTTTTTCAGATCCTCGATGTAATTCCATACAAAAGTTATACTAGGAAGAATATTGGATATTTATACGCGATAGCCCACGGCGCCGAGTGGATTTACGACACGGATGATGATAATAAGCCTTATGGTATTTTTAACTTTGATTTTTTTTTTTCGGCTTTTTCAAGGGCAAAGTTTAAAAGGCCTTTTAAGGATCTTAAAACGAAAAAAGGTCTCTTTTAAGTCCCAAAAAAGGTTCAAAAAAGTTCCTCCTGGACTTTCCAAAAACAAAATATTTCATCGGCTTATTTCTCCTTTTCCGGAACCTATTATGACTTTTTTTTCCTTATATCATTTTTTTATTTTCTCAAAAGGAACTTTCCGATAATAAAATATAAAAAAAGGCGCAAAGCCATTTTGAAAGTTCTCTTTTAAATACTATTAGAATTGGCCCGTGTTATAGCGTTTTTTTTCGATGTCCTTGAGCGGAAGTCATTTCTAGTCGGTCGCGTTTTGAAGTTACAAAAAAAAACTCTCCTAGTAGTGAAGATATTTGGCGGATTTGAAAGGCTATTCTTGAAAAATATTAATTGGATGTATTGGAAATTTGATCAAAAATCTTTTATGGCAGATTTTTCAGGAAAAGGCTTGGATCAGTTTGACTACACTCCTACGGTATCTGGACTACGGTATCAAGTTGATAATCGTTCCGTTGATTCCAGGTTTTTTTCTTTTCTAACTTCATTGAATCAATATTTGAAAAAAATTGACGTCCGAGAAAAAAAACTCAAAATTTTAGAGACATTTTGTTCAATCCATACCGGTTTTTCGGAGTACATAGCATGTGGCCAAGAGGTTTCCCGCTCGAATATTTGAATGTAAGCTAAGTCTTAAAAATAACCAAAAAATGGGAAGATTTTCCCGATTCAAATTGGAAAAAGGATCAAAATTAAGGAAAATGTGAACTTATTTGAAATTTATGAGTTGCGATTTTTTCGATTTTTGCTAGTCCATTATTCTGAATGTTCGAATTTTTAACCGATAAACGATCGACCATTTTTTCTTGAGCAATCAAAAAAACATTTGTCAGTTTTATTTTTTTGGAACTAGGCGTTTATTTAAAATTTTCGATAATTTGATTTTTAAATTTCCGTCCCAAAAAAAGTTCAATAAAAGCCTTAATTCGTTCGAGCATTGGGTTCTGTGAACTCTACTGAATAGTTCAACTCCAGGACCACACGAATGGAAAAGACCGGATTAGATTGTGCAGAAGAATGGGCCTTCCTGCCGTCCAACAGGGCCTCGTCCACAAAGATCCCGACGTCGACGCCATCTACCGTCTTCTCCACGCCGATGACGTCACCGGGCTCGACGAACGCTTCAATAAATTCGCCCCGACTGTCGTTCTGGCGCCAGGTACTTTTTTGAATGAAGGAACTCTTCATATGTTTTGAGAAGGTCGAAATAGCATCCACAGATGTCTTTGTTGAATTCTTCCGGGTTCAAAAAGTTTTTTTAACACTTTTTTTCATTTTTTTCCTTTAAAGCAACCAAAAAAAGTTTTTTTGGGGATATTCGGAAAAGTTCTGTTGAAATCCTCTGTGTTGCTGTGATTTTCCAAGGAATCTGTTTGTTAGTCGTAGTTTTTCAAACTCCAGTGTTAATTATGATTTTCAGAAAAAGGGCCGTAAGGAGCATTTCTTAATCTTAATCATCCTATTTTTTTCTCTATAAAAGGAAAAAAATTGATCATAAAATTAATCATAGCAATAACTATCTCAGGAACCTACGCCCCATGGAACTCTCAGAACACCTTGTTCCACCGAAAAGCTTTCCTCACCTTGTTCTTGCCGGTCACAGTGGCTTTCAGGTGACTTTATCAAACACTCGACGTTTTTGAAACTTTAAGTAAAAGTTTCAGCCTGTGAAGAAAGTTCAAAGTTTTATGAATTCTAGATTTCTAGAATTGTTTTCATTTTTGAAAAAAAGTATAGTCTGTGTGCCAAGACTTGAAACTTCACGGAACGACATTCCGCTGTTCCGCTGCGTGCGTTCGCGAAGCGTCTTTCGAATCTAGGTTATTTTTATTGCTGGGGGAGTACATGAAAGTAGAGTACCTTAAAAAAAAAAAGTGAAAAGCGCGACCAAGGTTCGCGCTTTTAACTTTTTTTTGGGCGCGCAGTAGCACAGCGGAATGTCGTTTGGTGAAATCCCAAGTCGTGGTACACAGACTATAAAACGCCTCAGGCTAGCTCACAAGGAAGATTTTTGATAAAGATACCATTAAATAATTCCTAACAAAATTCTCGTCACCCCTTTATGCTTTTCTTTCCACGATGAAGAGAAAAGCTCATTTTTCTCGAATTTCTAGTAATCTGCTGGTTGCTGTGCCGTCATTTCGATCATTTTTATTTGATTAGAAAAAAAGCAAGGCGTTAGATTATTTTGGATTCAAAAAATCAACTTGACTCATTTCCTGGGAGAATTTGATAAAGGATTTTTAGAGCAACCGACATCTGGAGGTCCTACTTTTCCCAAGCCTTGCTCCATCTAACAGGAGATTCCGTATCCTTCGTCCCAGTTAACGCGATTCAGATCAGAAACGCCCATAATTATCTCGACGATTTCAATGATGAAAAGTGGGATGATTTTTCTCCAGTCTCTCCAAACGCGTTGCGTGCCGCGTCGCGGCCATTTCCAGGCAGGTTTATAGTCAATCTGGAGAAATCGTCCGTTTCCTTCGCGATTGGAATTGTTCAAAACCTACGATTGAGGGTTGTTTGGTGGAGTTGGCAGAGGAGTTTCTGTGAGTTTATGACGTCATTAAAAATATGATGACGTCATTTAGAAGACATAAGTTTTGGGGCGAAGAAGATGCGACATTGGCGCGACTTTGGGCCGTGGATTTGAAAAATTTAAAGTGAGTTGGCCAGGAAGTATTAAAATAAGTTTGAAGAGAAGAACATGAGTTTTCAAAAAGAGGATGTTTTATGATGCTATTCTGGCAGCCGTTATCTAAAAGTTATAGTCTGAAATATTTCCAAGCCGATTCAAAATTACATTATTTTTCTGATTTTCTCGGCAAGGTTCAAAAAGAGTATGCGAAGCGGTCGCGAGGCGGTTTGGCGTGATTTCAAATTTTTGAGATCATTATCACGTTTCCTGCTGATAAAATTGAATAACCTTTATCAAGAACTTATAAAAAAATTTTTGGCGTTTTTATAAATACGCATAAATGAATTTTTTCCAAGAAATAATTTTAAAAACGCGATGCTTTTGTGAAAGCGCCAAAAAGGCTTTTGCATGCTTTTTTTATAGCCTGTTCTTGACGTCATTCAAAAACGCTCTAGAGTTGGCTCGCTCTCTGATTGGTTTATCCCCCAGTAGGGGCGGAGCTTGAATGACTTGACCTTAAAATCTGAACAGACTATACTAATGCCGCATCCTGTCGTTTCAATTTAAAAAAAATTAGTAATATTTCGATTTCTGTGCTACTTTGAACTCCTCTTTGAGGATTTCGTGTAATCGCGTTGTTTCGAATCCAATAAGCTTAAAAATAAGTTTATGGAGCAGGCGAAATTTTATCATATTTTATTTATGATTTTCCAGTTACACCTATCCAGTGATTCAATCCAGCAACTCGAGCGATTATGGACTCCGAAAAACGGAAGAAAACAGTGAAGAAGTCAATTGCCGACCGATGAACTTGGATTTGAAAGTTGACACGCCAGTGAATAATAAAATACCGGTAAGATTCTGAAAAAAAGCTTTAGAGACAAAGAAATAATTGAACTTGGACCTGAAAGCTATCAAAAGATAGTATTTGGAAGAAGAAGTGATTGGGAATGTTCTACTTCTAGCTTCCGAGTTTTGAGAGTCCCTAACTTCGTTCCACAGATTTTTTGCGCAACTTTTGAGGCTAGATTTGGAAGCAGCGTAAAAACTACGTGTAGTAAACTTGGTAGCTTTCAAAGTTCATACTGTGTTTGAGACATTTTCCTGGTAGAAGTGGATATTTCGTGTAGATAAACTTCGAAAACGGAAAAATGCCTAATTTCCAGTGAAAATAAACTACTTCGGTATGAAAAAAACAGTTAAAAATATGCAAAAGAAAGATAGCCCATAGAAAAAGCAATTTGTCATTGGCTTTCGTTTAAAATAATGTTTTTTTTTATTTGGACCACTGAGAGAGAATTTCGTTTTTTGGTTACTTTTTCTACCGTAACCATAAAAGGGGCGGAGCTAGTCAAGACCATATGATCATTATGTTGATTTGTTTCCAGGCTAAAGAACGAGCCATCACGAAGCTTGAAAATATGGCTCAACTCGATTCCTGGTGTGATCTTGACTATGGAAGTGAGAAATTCTTTCAAACATTTTTGAATATTTGCGTTTTTTTTTTAGATGAATCCCTGACGGTGACGCCTTTAAGACTAGCTGAACTGCATTCAAAGTCGGAAGTTCTGAGGAGGAACTTGGAAAATGTTGGAATTTTACAAAAATTACAATGATTTCAATGATTTTTTGAGAAGAAAATCGTGGTAGTTGAAATTTTTTGCAATCATTTTCCAAAAAAAAAGAAGAGATTTCTAACCCTAGGAACGCCAGAGTAGTCCCTATAGGGGTTAGGAGGAAAATAGTCCCTGTAGGGGACGAAAAAGTGGTCCCTTAAGGGGTAAAATTTAGGTGGTCCCTTTAGGGGTTTATGGTGTGAGCCCCTGAAACTTTAGTGGTTCCTAGAGACTTTAAAGTTTTTTTATTATTATTTTAAAGGAAATTCGTGCCCTTTGTATAATCCACTAACTGAAACCTCAATGGAGGCTACTTTTGCAAGCTTAGTGGTCCCTATAGGGGAAGTTAAAGTGAGTTCCAGAGGGACCCTTGAACGGTCTATAAGACAGCCCCTATAGGGACCAATTTGAGATCCCTAAGATTGAGTTACGATTTTCAGAAAAAAAACGGTAAATTTCACGAAGAAACTGTGCTTAATCTCATTTTTCGATTTTTCTGAAGAATCTCTCTTGTTTCTCATAGTTTTTATGATACACCAATAATAAAAAAATGGCGATTTTTTTCTTTAAATTCAATCAATCAGGCATGAGTTTTTTTCATAAATCAGTTTAGGTACTGATTATTACGAGCGAAAAGCCATCAACTGCGAAATTGGGACTTTTACAAAGGCTTTATGAACCTTACTTTGCTGTTACCATCTTTTGCGGGGATTGGAACGATAAAAAGAATCGGGTGATTTTCCATTTTTTTATGTGCTTTTCAGAGTTTTTAATTGTTAGAAGGAAATAAAAAAAGAGAAAAAAAGTCAATTTTTTAAAGTTTTTTTCAAGTTCTTGAACAGAAATGCCAGAATGTTGAGGAGTTTCAAAGGTTTTTAAAAATCCTTTTTTGAATCACAGAATTTTTTTTGATGCTCAAAGTTTTGAGTCCAGAAAATTTCTGCAGTTTTCAAGCTCATGCTTATGCCCTTTTAAAAAAAAATAATTATTTTCTAGTTTATTTTTCTACGCTCTTAATTCCAATCAGAAAATGTACTTCATTTTCTTTTCAATTATATGAATTTCAATTTTTCAGGCATTTTACCTACCGCAAAATCGCCTTTAAATTACGTTTATCTGTCCGAATCGGAAAATAAGGACGGATTTCTGAGTTATTATTGTTTGAATGAAGTCAAAGAGATGAATCTTCAAAACGTTCAAGGTACTTTTTTCCTCTCGAAAAATGTTGCTTATCCAATTTTTAGGCTATTTTTTGATACGTGACGACGTGATTTTCAATTTTTGGCATGCGATCGATTTTTCAAAAGCTTTGTATATTAAGGAGAACTTTACAAAGAATGATTATGGGGAAAAATTTGGCGAGAAGATGGGTCTGTTTTTTTATTTTCTTTTTTTTTAAATGTTTTTTTTTTTGTTTTCTTTTTTGTTTCATTTTCTGGTTTTCTTTTTATTAGAATAATTTTCAGTTTTAATTTTTTCAGGGGCTGGCGCTGTACAAAGAATCAACAAGAAAATGAGTTCGAGTTTGGATGGAAAGTTGAAAAAAACGTGGAATAAATATGTGGATCAGGTAGACTTCCTCAAAAAAAGGGAGAGTTTAAAAAAACGAAAAAAATATTATTTTTTTGAAAAAAATTTTTGGCTCTTGTATATCTTAATTTTTATTATTTTTCTAAAAACTCTGCAATTTTTAGTACCGGTTTTTCAATAAGTTTGGGGAAATCTTCATCATTTTTCAAAAGTTTTTAAATGAGGTTCTCGGAATAAAAAAATAGACTGGAAATCTTTTTGAAGATATTCAAAATGATTTTTTTATGAGTTTATACATTTTTTTGACATTTTTCTTGCGATTCAAAACCAAAAAGCTCAGAGTTGAATGAATCTTTTGATAGGAAATTTTTTTATTCATTTCGAGGCAGGTACATAAATTTTTAATAAATTTAAAAAAATACTTTCTTAGAATTTTCTCTTGATATTTAAGCAACAAATTGAGTTTTTTTAAAAGAAAAAGAAAAATGGAAATTAATCTTTTAGTTGACGAAAAAAATGAAAGCGACTCCCAAGCGGACTTTATCCTTGGCAAGGACGATTCGATCTCCAGAAAATCTTGGTCTACAAGGGATTTGTACGTTTTCTTTTCAAGTTTTTGGTGCTTTTAGATTTTTTTTTTTTTGAGACTTCACGGGATTTTTAGTCTTACGAACTTTTTTTCTCTGCTTTTTTCTCGGAATTTTCTTGATTTTAGTCGAACTGTCAAACTGGTCAGAAGTACGAAAATATCTCGGATCCCAGTTTTTATATTCATTTTTTGTTGCTGAGAACTCACGTTCAACTTTTTATTTCATTCCAGAAACAACTTTCAGCTTTTATCTCCCTTCTCAAAACCTGGATTGGTACGCGGAACTCATCGAAATATTCCACAGCGAACGATTTTTTCAACAATTTGCGTTGGAGCGCTTCGTGAGAACTGTCGAGTATGAAAGGTACGGCGAAAAAGTTCAAATTTGGAACTTTTCGGTTTTTGAGCTGAGAATAGGTGAAATTTCACAGGCTTTTTAGGATTTTCTGTTGTGATTTTTGAAGGAATTTATAGTTTTCAGTACTGGAAATAGCAGAAAAAAAAAAAAACGTTTTTGAAAAAAGGTTTCTTTGAGCTTTTCTTTGGAAAAACTAGTTGCAAAAAATAGGATATATAGTCAGTTTTCGTATTGGTTGAAAATAATAGGTTTTTTTATGATAAAAATCTCAAAAAAAGAATAAATAGAGGAAAAAAAATTTCGAAAATTTTTATGTTGAACAATGCTATTCTTTCCAGAAAACCTATCGAAATTACCTGGACCAATGGAAAATCTTGGGAAAACTACAATGAATCGACTATTGGATACTTTCCTCTGAACTTCGAGCAGCTTCAAGATGAGAATTCCAGGAAAGAGTGAGTTTTTTTTTTCGAATTTTCGACGCTTTTTCTTTTCCGAATTGATAGAAAATGTTCAGATTCTGCCAAGAAGTGCTTCAAAAATATAGAGAAATTCTACTGCGTTAATATATATTTTTATTTGTCTTTTGTGTACATAAATCACGGGTTTTTGATTGAAAAAGTAATATGGATTTAAAAATAAATTTCGAATAGTAGGAGAATTTCCTGCTTCTCTGTTTGGATAAAATCTTAAAAGGATTGCAGGAGTTGATTTTTTTTTTTATAAAAATTTTCTTGGTCGCATTTGGAATGGCTCAAAACGACGTTTTGAAAATCACCTGAACTTCAAAAGTTGCTCTGATATTTTTTGATATCCCCGCGCGCAACTAGTTTCAAGTCGGACGCACTTTGAAGTCAATTGCTTCGCAGAGAACACACCTTGAGTCATTCCAAATGCGACCATGGCTTTACAAGTTGAGTTTTTTAGGAATTTTTTTCGAAAAAAAAAAAGAAAAAGCTAGAACTTCAAGCTTTTCTTTTCTTTGGAGAGTCCAGTTTTTTTGATGTTTCTAATTTTTTTCTGGTTAAAAAAAGGCTTTATCAAATGTGTGATCCTCAACCGTGTTCTGCAATTTTTGTGGCTTCTTTTTGCGTTTTTTTCAAACTCGTTCCTTGGGAAAATCAAAGCTTTATTCAAATTTGCACAAAATATGTACAGATCAAAGTCCTGAGGGATATAATGACATGTAATTGAAGATAAGGAGAAAATTAGAAGTATCGACGCTGCGACTTGCGGTCGACGACCTCCTCGCTACTGCTGTCCTCGGTGACTCTAGCCACTTCGGCCCTTCTCAGATTGGCCCGGTCGGCAGCCTCCGCCTCGGCTTCCCGACGGCGTTCCTCGGCAATAGTCCCCAGGTCGGTGCGATCCGCCCGAACTACTTGACGTCTTTCAGCATCGACGAAAACAGTAGCGTCACGAGGGACCGTGTCCGGCTTGACCAGAAGCTCGGTGTGCTGGCCGGTGAGAACGTTGGCGCTGTCCGGGTCGGCGTAGTTGATGGCGATCACCCTCTTGCCCTCGTACTCTGGGGCGACGTTGGGACGACGGCCGCCCAGAAGGTTGGCGTCGTTCTCGTCGTGGACCACCATGGTGGAACGGGCCGTGTGGTGCAGAGTTCCCGGCTCGTCGACCAAGACGGCCCGACGGTTATGATGGCGCTCGCCGTAGTCGTCGTACCGGTTCTCGTTGTTGTGTCTGGCGGTCTTGTGGACCTTCGGGTCGTCGTAGTGGTTGTGGTCACGGCGACGTCTTGTCACGATCAGCTCGCGCTCCTCCTTCGGGAAGATGGTCTCCAGGTTCAGGACTCCTGGAATTTGAGGAATGGTAGAGTGTCGTGGTGGGAACTGATGGTATCTTCGATTTGGTTAGAAATTCAGAAGTATTATGATAGACGTCGACAGACCGAGTCTCAGAAAAGTTTAGAAATGGGATTTTTTTTTTCCGATTGCTCTCTCTATTGATATGTTGACTAGGGAATGAGAAAAAAGCAGTAGGGTTTAGGATTTAGATTAAAATAATTCATCCACTAACCGATGTTGAAGACCTTCTTTGGTGTCTGTCCCTTGGTGATGTAGGATTTCGGAAGGGCGAATTTGACCTTTCGGGAGCCAGGCTGCAAATTCCAGTTCATTTGAGACTTGTGATATGATGTTAACCTTGATCCCGTCGTCGCAGTCGTGGTAGACCTTAAAGATCGGATCGATGGGCGTCAACTCGGCCGTGTAGCCGCCGAGCTTGAACTCGCCGTCGGCGTTGGTGTAGCCTTCGTCGAGGAGGTCGTCCGGATCCGGTCCGGTGTCTTCTTCCCACAACTTGATGCGGACCCCGCTCGCCGGCTTCGGACCACACATTAGTCGTCCTGGAGGAAGATTGGTGGTGAGATTATGGAGTTCATGGTAGGGTTTCAGTGGAAATGGCTACCATCACAAGTAGGTTAGTTTCAGTTGAAACATAAGAACTTTTTGAAAAGGTGGCCTTTGAACTAGTGTTGGGTTTTGAACTGCTCCTAGAAGGAATTTTTCAGAAAGTTTCGGATTTTTGTTAAGTAACCTAGAAAAAGAATTTCGGCATGTTGTTAAACTATCGTTAGGAGGCGAATTTATAGGCTATTTCCCATCAAAAAAAAAAAAAACCAAAAAGATATTTTTGAATGGAAATATCAAATTTTTAATAGTATAGAAATTTTGATGCTTCTTGTCTTATTACAACATTTTCTAGAAGCTTCTGCGGAAGGTTTTTAGTGGCTAAATTAGGGTTTTGACGTTTTAAAAGTCATTAAAAAGATAACCACTATAGTGTTCCCTACGACGCAAAAAGTGGCATCTACAGAGGTGGTTTTAATGGCCACTTAAGCGCCTTCTCCATCTAGTTCTTGAGAAACCTCTTAAGAGATCCCTAAAGCTTCTCCGAGTTTTTCAAAAGTTTTCAACTTCCATTTGTTCAAATTTCTCCACGTTTTTCTAGCAGGCAACAAATATTTAAACTTGCAATAGCTTTATTGATCATGAATACCCCATTTTTGGCGTTTTCAGTCAGATTTTCTGGAATTCCGGCCAGGTCTAGCTCTTTTTGGGGTATATATTTCTATTGGAATTATCATTTGAAGTGTAAGTATTATATTACCTTCAACAGCGATGGATTGATCCAGCATTGCGGCTGCTGAGCCGAAAAGGGCGAGGATAAGAATTGCTCGAGACATCTGTAATTTAAATTGAACGTTTTTCATTGTTCTCGAGGCAATTAAAAAGAAAAAAAGCAATATTGAGAGTGGAATTTTCGCCTTAAAGCTGAGAAACAGCTCAATTTGCTCGAAGAAAGAAGCGGAAATGGTGATTTAGAAAAATTATCCGTCTTTTCTGGGAAAAAATCTTTTTTTTTTTTGAAAAGCATAGGGAAAGAACTGAAAATTAGAAAAAAGGTTTGTAAAATGGAGGAACTGAAACAGAGATGGAAGAGAGGAGAATGAAAATAATGGGTATTGGCCGCCTTTTTATACAATTTCGTGTTGATTTGAAGCTGATCAGTGCGCATCTCTAAACTCTCTTATTTATCCCTGATATTTCCTTGCTTCTCCTATCAGTTCATCATTTGTTTATTTCGTGCCTTATTTGGTATCAAAAGATGCGCAGGGTGGTCACTGGAGATAAGGCAATCTTTGAGCATTTTGGGACCTTTTTTTTGTTGATTTGTTTGTTGGTTTCTTTTTGTTTCGCTGCAAATTATGGTTGCAGGAGTGAGTCTGATTTTTAAGAAAATCAGTAATTTTCAAAAATTTCTTTGATTTATCGCATTGAGATTCAGTGAACTGGAAAAATTTTTTTTTTAATTTTCAAACGGAGGATTTTTTTCTTAAATTTATCAAATGATCGATTCCTACTCGGCTTAAAAAAACATCAAAAATAATAGGGATACTGTACTATTTTTTTCGTTCAAAGAGAAGATTTCAGAATAATTTTTTTCAGCTTTATGAAACGAATAAAAATCTCGCTTTTTTTCTGAAGAATAAGAAAAATTTTTTTGAATTTAATATTTTCAAACGTTTTTCTCATATTTTTTTGGAATCTTACTGGTTGCGATAGTGATTTAAATGAATCGAGACGATTTTTTTAAAATTTTTTTAAAAGATTTTACAGGTTAATAATTCCACTTTTTAATCGATAAAAAAAGTCAATTTTAATCAAATCAATAATTCAACAATCTCAAAAAAATTTTCTAACTCTTCCAACTGAATTTTCTTCTTTCTTCAAGTCTTCTTTCCAATTTTTTCTCTTCTTTCTGCCCTTTTACAAAACTGTTGTTTGAGCTTTCCTTGTTCTTCTGCTCATCATTCTTATCACTGATGACGTTGGCTTTTTCTGGATGTTTATCGATTATCAACACGTTTTGTTGATCTGATTATTGATTTTGTTGTGTCTGGCCTCGAGGATTATAGAGCATTTTTTCTGAAGTTATTAATTATTAAATTTCCTTTTTTTCGATAAATGTTTTTTTGCCGCTTCAGAAGAGGTTTAAGATTAAATATAGTAAATCACTAATACTTGGGCCGCAGGGCATGTTCTAAAACACGAGCGGTTGTGGGGCACGAGCGGCACGACCGTTACTAAATCACGAGCGGTTTCATTTTCGCTCCTTTGCGAACGCTTCTAAATCACGAGCGTTTTTGGCTTATCGTTCTGTTCGAGCGTTTCTAAACCGCGAGCGTTTCATTTTAATCATTTTCTTTATTACCATCCAAGTGTGTTTTTTTCATATTTCTACCTTCTTTTTCTCCTTGAATAAAAATTTTGACGATCTTATATGCACATTTTTTCGCTCAATTTGTTGATTGATTCACATTTGAGGTTCATATAATGGATTTTTTCTAAGTTTTTTTGCGGTCTCTATAATTTCACAGATTCTGCGTATGGCAAATTTTTTTCTAATAATTTCATCTGATTTTTCATATTCAATATTTCACAGATTTTTGCGTATGAGAAACTAATATTCACAGACGTCTCGCATGAAAGTCAATATTTCTCAAATTTTTGCGTATAGCAAATTTTTTTCTAATACTTTCTCTCAAAAATTTTTTTCTGGTAATAGAATCTCATATTCGAATTGATGCCATTCATATTTTTATTCTCCTCTTACCCGCTAGAATACCGCCGCTCGCCGCTCCGCTCGTGATTATTAGAAAAATTTGCCATACGCAGAATCTGTGAAATTATAGAGACCGCAAAAAAACTTAGAAAAAATCCATTATATGAACCTCAAATGTGAATCAATCAACAAATTGAGCGAAAAAAAATGTGCATATAAGATCGTCAAAAATTTTTTTATTCAAGGAGAAAAAAAGAAGGTAGAAATATGAAAAAACACACACACTTGGATGGTAATAAAGAAAATGATTAAAATGAAACGCTCGCGGTTTAGAAACGCTCGAACAGAACGATAAGCCAAAAACGCTCGTGATTTAGAAGCGTTCGCAAAGGAGCGAAAATGAAACCGCTCGTGATTTAGTAACGGTCGTGCCGCTCGTGCCCCACAACCGCTCGTGTTTTAGAACATGCCGGGCCGCAGATATACAAGAAATTTTCAATTGGGAAGGTCACTTAACACAAATGAGCTGGTGTATATTTTTTTCGAACTTTCGAATTTTTGAATTTTTGAAAACACGCATCTATGAAGAATATGCATTAAAAAAACAATCAAAGATATTTTTGCAGTTTCAAAGAATCTATTTCATGTTTTCGTATTTTATTGTTTTGTTACAGAATCGAAAAAACGGAAAAATTATAGAATTAGCTTATATTAGCCACTATAGAGGTCACTTTATCTTAAAAAAAAGAAATCACAGAACAAAACTCCGAAATATATAATTATTTATTTACAAACAAAATATACAGCGAGCAAAATATATTACAAGTGAAGGGACCACTTAAGGGTCAAACAAAAGTTTTATGAAAAGATGGGCAGCTGGAGAAAAATTAGTGCAACCCGCTCTTGACTGCAGTGTCAGCCGTCACTTTAGTGACCACTTGGGGGTTTTCGGGCGTTTCTTCGCTGCTGCTGCTGCTACTGGTCTTGACATGACGGCCTGGGAAAATCACGCCAGTGTAAGGGTCCACGAAATCGTCTTCCTAGGATTTTTTTAGTTGAATTCAAAAATCAAATTCAGGTTCATTAGACAAAATTTCATGTGAAGTTGAGTTGAATTTCAACTGAACTTGAAATTTATCGGGTTTTTCCAAAATTTTGGAGGGAAATTTTCTTTTCAAAGATTTTTTTCCAATAGAGTTTTATCTATGAAATCCGTTCACTCTCAGAAAATGAAAAAAAAAACCTTTCTGATGGCGCGACGACGCCTCTTGACTTCGAAAATTTCCCTTCCTTCATCGGGGAAAATTGTCTCAAGATTCAAAGTTCCTGAAATTATGACTTTTTGAAAGGTTTATGACTTTCTCACCAATATCGAAGACCATACTTGGAACAGTCCCATCAGAAACGTACGATTTTGGAATTCCAAAAGTGACTTTTCGAGCGCCCGGCTGAAAACAGGAAGCTGCATATGATTAACTCAGGTTTTGAAGCTCATTTTACAGTTTTTTTTCTTTTTTACTCCTTTTGTTGACATTTTCTGTGTGAATTTCAAATTATTTCAGTTATAGTCTGTTCGAAAATTTTGCTGATTTGTTTAAAGATAGATAGACGAATCGAATAATGATCTTCATGCAAAGAATAATTTTTAACGCTATATTGAAGCCGTACAAGTCATAAGCAATTTTAATAACATAGGCAACTATTTTCGAGCGGACTATAGGAAATTTCGAAAAACCGAGATTGAAAATTTTGACTTTCGTAAAAATTATTTGAATTGTAATATATTTCAGTTCAAAAAGAAAAATTTACCACTACGCCGTCGTCGCAGTGATGGTAGACGCGGAAGAGGGGATCAATGTCCATGAGCTCCGAAGTCGAACCGGAGACCTGGAATCGGCCGTCTCTGTCCGAGTAGGACTGGTCCAGAAGGTCGTCGGGATCCGGCCCCGTGTCCTCGTCGAAAAGTCGGATTCTCACGTCGCTCGCCGGCTTGTCACCACACAGAAGACGGCCTGAAGGTTCGCTTATTTTTTTCATTTTTTTCTATGAACTAGACAACAAAAAATTTTTTATATGAATAAAAAAAGAAATTTTTTTGGATTTTTTTAGACTCGATTTTTTTGAGTTTTTGGAGTCTGTTAGAAAAAAGTTTCACATTACTTTTTATTTTTGGAATAATTGACTTTTTTTCGAAAAAAATAATTATGAGCCAGAAATGAAATTGTAAAAGATAAATTCCAATAATGTTTCAGAATTGCAATTTGAAACTCAGTTGAGATTTTATTTTATTGCCAAACGTATTGTAATATTTTTAAAAAAATGTTCTATTATTAATTCAAACGTGGACGATGTACTAAACAGCCCTACAGGGACCACTCCGGAGTTCCTAAGATTCCTTCTTTTTCTTGGCCAAAAATTGAGTAAAAACTGAGTTAAATTGAGTTAACCATATTTCATTGATCTTCAAATAGGGTCGCTCAAAAAAGTTACCAACCTCTTGCCGAAACGGACTGTTCGCGGGAACACAATGCCAAACCAGTTAATAAAGAAAAGATCAGAATATTTTTCGACATTTTTTCAGTTTCTTAATCACTTGACTTACAATCCTTTTTATATATCCACCTAATCACCTGATATTTTCATGCAAATATCGAAAATAAACACGGAGGAACGTGACTGAAACAACTGTTCCCCGGCGGAAAACGTGTTGATCCGATCTTTTAATCTGCTTTCCGAACTTTTCTTTGATTTATTGGCAGGGATTGCAGGCAAAATTGTGCGGGTGGATGTTTCAGAATGGTTTTTGAGTTCTAAGAGTTGGAAAAAAGCAGTTTGTTCATAGAAAATGCGGATGGTTCTAGAAAATATAAAATATGGGTTTTTCTGTTTTTGAAAAGGAGTCCTTTTTGATTTTTTAAAGTTCCAAAATGCCGATTTCTTTTTCTTTTTTTTTTTGACACGATTGGATCAATTATTTACAAATCCTTTCGTTTATCTATCTGTGTCATGTCGAAAGATCTCCAAAGTTGAACAAATTTATTCCAGAACAATCTATTTCCCATATTTTTTCGATTCGTATTTCAAAGATAAATCGCTCTTGGGCTGAGAATCCTCGGCCGGCCGTCCCAAGTCGAGGTTGCTGTGCCGGAGACGATCCTCGACGACGTCGAGCTGATGGACGAGTCTCCTCATTCGCTCCTCCTCGCGGGCCTGCGCGACAAAGTCGCCGAACGTCCTGATCGGCGGCACCCGGCCTCGCTCCTCGTGCAGCGTCGCCAGCGTTCGCAGTTTCTCCGCGACTTGCCCGTAGGCGTCGGCGACGTTGCCGTTGAGTCGCGACGTCGCCGACGCGAGCGTCGCGAAGAGAAGCAGCACGGCGACTGAAGAGAGCGACGACATCTTTCTACTAGAGAAAAGGTCGAGGGGAAGTTATAAGCAGGACCGGCTAATCAGATTTTGGGAATTTTCGGATTCTCAGGATTTCCTTATAGAGCCATGAGAATGAGTTTTTCGAGTAGTCACATATTTCGATTAGGAATCCTTGAGAATTGGAGATTTCCCCAGAGTGGATGACATAAAAGATGAAGGGAAAGGTCTTTTTTATAGGTTTTTATGATTTTTTAGGGTTTTATCTCGTCCCTCCGAGTAGAGGGGACTAGCAGCTTTGGAATTTTTTTGTTGAACTTTAAATGGATTCATCAAGTTTTGCTTGTATTGAAACGGTTAATGTGTCATATTATATCAGTTGAAATTTCAAAAAAATAAAGCTACGCCCCTTTTCGGAACGTTCAATTTAGGGACATGAACCTCCTGACCGGACTCGGATTTGGGCTCGCCTTGATTTGTATGACGTCAGCTGGAGCAATCCCGAAACCGGGACAAGAACTTCGCCCCGACAACATCTACGATCGCTTCGCCCAGAAGCTGCGGGATCTCAGCCAGCAATACGAGGAACGAGGCCGGAAAGAGCCTTCCGGAACGTTCAGCGACTTTGTCCAGAAGACCCTCGATGAGCGCCAGTTGCACGAGCAGCTCGTCGAGTTGGACAAGGTGGGGAGAAGTTTCCATTCTACCTCTCTCAAGAAAAGTTTCAAGAGTGGTCGGTTGTTTATTTTAGTATCATTTTAATACAAAAACCAAAAATAGTTCTTATTTTGATTTGTGACTTTTTAACAATGGCCTCCAAAAATTTTAATTTTTGAATGGGATGCGAATCGATAAACAGTTTGTAATGAAATGAAGAAAAAAAAAATATTGATTGCTCCGGAGATCGATCCCGCGACCTCTAGAGCAACAGTCAAGCCCACTGAGGCTGCGACAGCGTTATGAAGAACTTTTTTTTAGCATGGTGATTAACTTTCTACTCAAAGATTTTTTCTAACAAGTTTTACATTGACCAAAAAGCTCAAAACTTGAGTTTTCTCTCCTTTTCAGCGGTAACATTAATAAATTATCTTGAAATTATTCTCTGTGGGATACTGTAGCGATGAAGATCTGCAGACACGTGCAACTTGCGGCCAATGCGCACAATATTACGTCAAATGAACAGTTTTTTACGCGTTTTTTTTTCTCTGTTTTACATTTTTGTAAAGCGCTTCCATTAAAAGTGCTATTCAAATCGTTTGAAAACTTTTGCTGGGTTGCTCAAAGGATAATAAGAATATTGAATAAAAGCAATTTCGAGCGGACTTTGAACAAAAAGGACTAGAATTGAAGATTCAAAAATATTTTTTTCTTATATTTTTCTATGATTCCTTTGAGCTGTTTTCAGAATTTGGAAAGAACTACTCTTAAGACATCGAAACTATCTTTTTTTCCTCAAGATGTTATTATCAATTCAGGCTGTGCGCGAGTTCCGCGCCGAGAACTTGAGCCTCGACCGGCCGAAAAGCCCCGTCGTTTTCTTCGGCGACGCCGGCCGCCAGTACAAAAATGCACGTCGAGACTCTGGAAACAGCGAGGAAGACGACCTGGACCTCCTCGTCAAGGCCATCGCTCATGCTAATCGATTCTGATTTCAGAAATATTGAATAAAGATTTTGCGTCCGATTTTGATGTTTTTTTCCTTTTTCGAAGGTTCTCTTTGTCATGTTACAGTAAAGTACTTATCGTCAATGCCGATGAAAACTCTTTCCGACTCATAAAAAATATTTTCAGTAGTTCCTTTATACTAATTTTTGGAAAAGATCTTTGTTTCAAAGCGAAAAAACATAGTGTTTTTCTATGTTAACATTTCGCTATCAGGACGTTTTTTGCAAAAATCGAAAAATATGATTTTTTTGCTTTTAGTTTCCTAAAAAGGTTTCTTTAGTTTTTTTCTTTTTCGAAACAGCTTCCAGAAAACATTGCTTACCATTTACTTTCAAAAAAACGAGGATGAAATTCAGAGAAACTTTCGAGGCCTTCTAACTAGTAAGGCAACCTGAATTCTTCTTTTTGAGGGCTCTTTTGAGGTCGTTTGGACTTTGCTCGAGCTTAAGGAAACCTAGAAAAAAAAATTTTTTTCAAAACTTTTTTTCTAGCGGTCACTTGAGAACCTTTCCTTTTTTTAGCCCGGGATCATTTTTTTCCTTTTCTTATAGTTCATGCATGAAAACTAGGAAGTGGTCTCTCTATGCCAAAAAAAGATGTGGGTTTTCCTATGCATGAACTTTTTCTTTTTTTTGGGAAGTAATGGGGTTTCTGGGTAGTTTCCCAGTTCCTAAGGCTTTTTTGAGTGAGAAAACTCTTTTTATTCTGTTAATTGAGATAATTTTCATGGCTTTGAAATGTTTGGTCGCGGGGGGAATGGCTTGAATGAGCCGCAGCGCGACCGCGACGCGTCCGGCCATTCTAAATGCGACAAAAAAAGGTTTTTAAATAGAAAAGAAGAATTTTTCAAAAAAAGTTCCAGGTAGTTTTTTTGACGTTCTGAAAGGAAAAACCAGAAAGTTTAAAATTTATAATACTCTTGAAATTTTTTTAAGTAGTACTATTCACGGTTGAAAAATGTTTTTTCTATCGATTTTGAGGCCTTTTTTTCTCAAAATCTAGGAAGTTTCACAACTTGAGATTTTAACTTTAGTAAATCAAGGAGCTCTTTCAAAAATCTTCAGAAAACCCCGGAGTATAAGAAAAATTACCTTTCTCGTAGGTTTCTAGTCTAAATTTCCATTTTTGCGTGAAAATATCGCTGAATCAACTTGATATGTTATCATGACTAACCCAAACAATTTTCCTCCTCCGAAAACTCATTGAGAGACCAAAAAAGCACCAAAGGCCGTGTGCAATAAAGCGGAAAACGATTTTTTCCCCTTTTGCCTTGGAAAATGCGTTTACCCGTATGCAATAAAACGGGAAATGCCTTTTTCCGTCGTCATTTCTCGAAAAATTTTCCTATTTCTGTTCTTTTCTTATAGTTTTGGGGTTGAGTGAAGAACAAGGGGCATGAAAACGCGAAGAATTTAATAGATTGTCTTGAAGTTTTTTTTTGAAAATTGGAATTTATCAAATCTTGGTACTCTTTTTCTCTTTTTTTGTCTATATTTCAATTGAAAATATTTTTTTGGTATTTTTTTTATAAATATATGAATATTTTTAATCTTTTTCCTAAACTCTGAACATATAAAAAAAGCTTGTTTCTTGAAGAAAAAAAATCTTTTTTGATTTTTAATCAGTCCATTATGGTAATTGTTCAAGACCCTATATATAGGCTATATATGAAAGTTCAATGATCCTTTAAATTTTTTTGAAAATTTGTAATTGATTTAGTATGTTGTAACCGTTGACGATTAATCACTTAAAAAAATAAAAAAATTTATCAATTTATCAAAAGTTTGTTTAATCATTTTGCAAGAAGAAAAGCTTGCAAAAGGTTAAAAAAATTCAAATTTTCACACACAATGAGGTCAATTTACTTTCCGATTGGGAATTTCTGGAAACTCGACCAGAAAACTCTTTGAAGTACCAAAAAACGATTCTGAAATTCTCAAACTGCACATTTTTATAACTTCCGAGAAATAAGGGCTCAAAGCCCCAAAGTAGCTCATTTTAACAGATTTTAAGGGTTTTATTTGACTTTGAGGGGTCCTTTCTCAAAAACTAGAAATTTTTGCATTTCGAGACTTTCAGGACCTTTTTCTAGTAAATCAAGGAATTCCCTTACCAACTTTCAAGGAAATCCCAACCGCAAAGTAAAATGACCTTCCTTGTCGGATCACAAATTCCTCAACCGCTCAAACTATCAGTTCACTTCTCGAAGCTCTAAAATATGGCCATTAAAACAAGAAATTCTTATCAGTTGTTTTTCAAATATGATCTCTCTCTCTCTTTCCCCATTTTAACCCATTTCAAGTGCATTTTCCAGCTCGTTGCTCTTTTACAACTTTTCCGGCGTCAATTTGGAGATTTTTGAACTCGATCTTTTTTTTGGGAAATCTTGTCCTCTTCATGAAGTGAAAAACGAGGATTAGAAGCTAATTTTAGCTTTCGAAAACTAGAAAATTTCGCAATTTTAAGACTTTGAAAATGCCTAACAAATAATATCTTAGGAATTTTCAGAAATGTTCAGAGTGCGAAGCAAATTTACCTTCGTTTAAAAAAAAAGGATTTTGGAGACTTTCTGGAGCTTTTTTTGACGTTTTGACGGCTTTTTTTAAAGCTTCTCCTCACTTTTTATTTCGGTATGGGTTGATATTTTCTCAAGGAGAATAATGGCAAAAAAATTTTTCCCTTAACCGGAATCGAACTTCCATCACCAATTTCATAGGGAGGTACACACTACATTGTTCAAAGCTACTGCTTTTAAAGGAACATAGAAAGCTTTTATTGAGGTCTTGAAGCGAAGTTTCATTTTCGCTCTAATTTTAACTTCTGCGCCTTCAAATATCTTACCAGTTAACAATGACTTCCAAAAGATTCAAAATTAAAAAATTCAAAATTGAATAAAAGTTTTTTGTTGAAAAAAGAAAGTACGTAGCTTCACCTTTACCTCTCTAACATGAGCAAAAAGCAGCACTTGAGTTAGATTTTCGTCGAAAATAAAGGAGAGGAAAAACGTGCGCGGAAAAGCGAAGGAAAAGAAAAGGCAAACAGAAAATGGTACGGAAAAACGTCCATTTTTCCCGTTCTCGCTATTTTTTTTCCTCTCTCCTTTTTTTTCTGGGTTGACCAACTTTGAGTCTCTTTTTTCGCTTCCGAAATGTCCACTTTTTTCTCTTCTCTCAACGGACTTCGTTCCCTAAAATGTGTGTGTGCGTGTCCCTCTGGGTGGTGGATTCCATCAATTTTTTCTTCTTTCTTTTTCTTTTTTTGGGTCTGAAATACTTTTTCTTCTTATCTTCTTCATTTTGGAAAAATTTCTGGAAAAATTGAAGCTTGAAAAAAAATTAGGGAATTTCGGATCACAAGAACCAAATGAGAACAGTTAGACCATTGAAATCTGCATTTTGAAAATTTGAGCAATTCGAAATAAAAATTATCAAACTTTTCCTGGGGAATTAAGTGGTCAAAACTTATTTTAGTGAGAATTTTTGGTTTTTTGAAAAAGTCGAATTTTACTTTTATATTTTTGGCTCAAAAAGGCAAAAAGAAATTATGAATAAAAAAATTTTTTTATCCATATTTGAATACCCAAGCTTTTGATGAACTAAATTTCCGATATGGGTTAATATTTTCCCATTGAGAATAATGGCAAAATTATTTTTTCCTTGACAGGATTCGAACTTTCATCCCAATTTCATAAGGGAGGTCTTTATACACTACATTTTTCAAAAATCGAGGCAAAAGGGTTTCATTATCAAGCTCTGATCCCTTAAGCATTATTGCTGTTTTTCTCAAAAAATTTATTGTGAACTACTAAAAATTCACAATCTCTAAGTAGACTCTCTTAGAATTATCATGGATTCATCTTTAATATTTGAAGAGGTCCAAGAAAGGCTGAGAAAAAAATCGAAAAATTTTTTTAAAATATTTCGAAAAAAACCTTCGCAGTTAACAAACATTTTGATTATAAGCTTCAATTTTTTTGAGTTTGATCGAGTTTTAGTAATTTTTTTCAGAACCAATGGGAATTTTTCAATTGTGTCATTCAGATTTGCGGGATCAAAAGCTCATTTGAAAAAAAAAGGAAGCTGATAAATCTGATCAAAAAACCAGTTTGCGGTTTTCTTTGGAAAACTTATTTGGAATCCGAAAAATTCTGCGATTCCTCGATCGAGTTGAAATCTCAAAACATCATTTTCAAATCGTTCAAGTCCTCCGAATATTCTTTTTTTTTCTTCTTTAAGTATTATTTAAAGACTTTTTTCCATGGAAAACTCATAAAATTTAAAAAATGACTCCATTTCCTCCAAAGAAAAAAAACAAGTTGTAACCGGAACCTCGAAAAAACAGGATCAAATTTCCTTTCCGAGCTTTTTGCATTCCATTTTGAAAAAAAATTGGGAAGGGTCTATTTCAGGACTGAAAAAAAACGACAAGAAACAAACTAGGTCGCATTTGGAATGGTTCAAAGCGTCGCGGTTGGAGCATTGGTCAAGCAATATTAAGGCTTTCTGATGCCAACATGCGCAAGTAGCTTGAGGTCCGACGCAAAAAGGAACAAGAAAATATAGGTCGCCAGAAGTAGTTCCATGCGTCGTTATCGGCGTCCATTTGACCTCTGCAGCACACTGAAGCCTTTCCGATGTCAACATGCGCAAGTAGTTCGAGGTCCGGCGCAAATTAAAGCAGCCGCTCCGGAGTCGTTACGCCCGAGCGGCTGCTTTAATTAGAAAAAAAAAACAAAAGAATGTCATTTTAGTCGTAATCATTCTCATTTGAACCGGATGAACTACGTTTCAATTGAGGCATTTCTAAACTTGTTCGCTTCTTTTTTAGTTTTATTTGGACATTTTTCAAAAAAATTTACATTCAGTTTTTTCTCTAAACCAAATTTCAATCAATTCAATTTTTCTTTCGATTTTTTTTTCCAAAAAAATGACGTCACTCCACAAAAGTAGCGTCAATTTTCCACGTCCAAAACCGATTTGCTCGGAAAATTTCTCTCCATTTTTTCCTCTTTTTTCTTCGAAATTGAGCTGCTTCTCTGGAAAATTCAATTTCTCCAGAGTTCAGACATTGAAAAAAAAAGAAGTTTTGAGTTCCTTTTTTGTGTGCAAATTTTCGCAGAGTCTGCGAAATTCATGGAAATAATGGTCAGTTTAGGGTTTTTGAACTATTTTTCTTTTTTTACGGGCGAAAAATCTTTGAATCGTTTTGAGAATCATGAAACAAATTATTTACAGTTTTTATAATTTTTTTAAAAATATTTTTTTCCTAAAACTTCGATTTGACCAAATAGCGTGCGAAGTTGAGAATGTTTTAGAGAAAACCGCATTTTTTGTAACTTTTCTGTTTTCCACGTGTTGAAACTCTTATTTTTCTGCTCTCTCTCATCTCTCATCTACTCTCTCGTTTTTATCTGCTTTTTTCGCGTTTCTATGACCTCATGAGCGAGGGAAAAGAGAGTGCAGACATGTCAGACTGTTTCTATTTCTGGCGGTTGGACTATAACAAAAAAAAATGAGTCGAGGGCTATACCTATATAAGTTTAATGATATCTGCAAACCTCCGCTAACCTGAGCAACACGTAAGAACTTATTACTTTTTCATGGAATATTTCCCACTTTTCCATGTGCAAAACAACCGGAAGCTTCAGCTAAAGCAAAAAAAAAAAGAAATTTTTTTCCCGAAAAACGCCATTTTCGGCCGTCGGACGCCGCCACCCAAAGACGAGGGCCACGCCTCCTTTTTCTCTTCTCCCCATACACTTCATTCTGAAATTTTTTATCCTCTTTCTTCTTTCTTCTTCCTTTTTTTTCCTTCTCCTTCTTCTCCTCAAGAAACCCACCCTGACGCCGAATCGCTTCTTCTCTTTGTTCTGTTCCAATTTTCTTCTTTTTTCGAACGTTTCTTTCAGAGTCAACTTGATAAGAAATGTAGCTGCTTAATATTTGTACTTTCATATGTAGTTTGATCACTGGTCTCTAACTTTTTTTTCGCTGTCTAGATCCCAGTTCGATATTTACTCAAATGAATGGACTATTTTTTCTTTTAAAAATCATTGATTGATGTGAAACTCTCTCGTTTTACACACTGTCTTACTGATCTTCTCAAGATCATTTTTTGATTTTTAATGATTTTTCTCTTTATTTCATTCGAAGAAAGCCAATTTTATCTTTTCATAGCTAATATTTAGAGGATCGCTTAGAATTAATTTTGTTTTTCAAGGTTGCCCTGATTATCTTATTATTTACAACGTTTATTCTGTAAATTCGCTATTTTTTTTTTACCAATTACACAGACAAATTTTGCTGCGATCCTAAACCTCGATATTTGTACTTAAAAAAAAGTTTACTTTCTAATTTTCTAAGAAAAGGTCTCCAAAATGATTTTCCCGACTTTTCATCCGCTCTTTCAAATTCTCAACTCTTCAAAGAACTCCTCACAAAGTGAAAATCCCACAAAGGATTTGCTTCTCTCTTGGATTTCTGGCCGTTTTTGAATTGATGGCGTCGAAAAATTTGGGCGGCGATGCTTATCTCGTTGGCCATTCATTCCGTTTGGCCAACCCTGCTTTTTGACCTCAATTTCTTTTTTTTTTGCTTGGAACAAACGTGAAAAAGTTAAAAGTTGAGCCTCATATTCTTAGCTCTGGCTAACAGCCGTGGAAAATACCTTATTTTGGCGGAAAGACACAATGGGTGTGAAGAAAAGACGGCGAAAAGGTGTGGGAAATCTTTATTTTTAGGTTCGAGAGTCAAAAACAGAATTTTTAGCCTTTAGGGTTACTGTATTGATAGAAACCCGTAGACACGCTTAGCTGCGGACATTGCGCGTCTTGCCACGAAGCAGTGATGTTTCCTTCTCATTTTCCATGTTTTCCATTGTTTTCTACGTGTTTTTTCCATTCTTCCATTTTTTTTTACAAAAGTTTTTTTTCAGATTTCTAAGAAGAAGAGGCTGTTTTTTTTCTAAGTTATTTTTACTTTTGCAAGTTTTGTTTCAAACCTAAAATTTTTGAAATTAGTTTATTCAAACGTCTACTACTTTTCAATATCCCAATTTCGCCTTTTTTTTTCCCTTTCCATAACTTTTTCCTCTTTACTTCCTGTAAAAAAGCCATTTTTAACTTCTCTTAAGTAATATTTACTTCTTTCCCTGCAATTATTCATATTTTTTTCCATCAAAAATACTCTTGTTCACCTATTATTTCCAACATGTAATCTTTGATTTTGTAACGTTTTCGCATTTTGCAGAGAAAACTTTTTGCATGGAATCCTCTAATCTTTCACATTTTTCCACACAGGGCCCTATTTTTTCTCCGCTCCTTTTGGGAGGAGATTTCCATCTTGACGGGAAATATTGCGCCGGTTTTTACGACGACGACGACGTCGGATCTTGGAACGCTGGAATTTTCAACGCAGTTTGACATGTCGAGAAGGAAACGTCCATTGGTTGGTTTCAGTGATCAGGTTAATTTTTCCGAAAAAAAAATGTAGATTGAAACATAAAACCCGAAAAAATTCTTTTTTTTTTTGGATTGCTGTAGCCGAGAGAGTATGCATTCACTCTCTGCGTCTTTGACACGGAAATTTACGCCAGTTTTTCGAAAACGTGCAGTCTTCTTTCAGAAAAAGCAGATCAATATCAAACCTTTTAGGATGAAGAGACGAACCCGATGATGAAACCCTGCGCTCCAAAATATGCCATTTTACGCTTAAAAAGCGACGAGGATTGTCTCCAAATGTTTCAATTTGCGGTCAGTTTTTTCAACTTTTTTTTTTGAAATGTATCTTCGAACTGGATCGAATTCGAAGGAAAAGTGTTTTGATCGCAGAAATTGTCCCACTTTTCTTCACAACCGCGAAGCAAAGAAAAAAACCCATTAATTTCGCGGCCCGAGGTTTTTGCGTTGAAAAGTGCAATTCGACCCCCAGAAATGGCCTTGACAAGAAGTTTTTGCGAGAAAATCTTTTCTTCCGTTTGAAAAAAAAAAGATTGTCTAACGGGTTTTAGGAAGAACTTTTTTAGTGATGAATCGTTTGTTAAGAGAGAAGTTAAGAAATTTTTGAGTTTTTTTGGTTTATAATACGACTTGAAATTTCAGAGGGATTCCTGTTTAAAAACACTTTTTCTACTGAATTTATTCTGTTGATATATTGCAAATCCAAATCGGTTTTTTGTAATAATTTATGTCAAGGAATGTTTATGATTTTAATTTTGAGAAAATCAACTGAAAATTCATAAGAAGAGCCATATCTTGTAGCAAATGTCGAAGAAAAAACCTTGAAAATATTTTTCCTCGACTTTCTTTGTTTGAAAAATTTGATCTCTACGATCTGATTGAGGATAAAGGGTGCACTTGGAATGGCTTGACGTGCATAGCGGTGGCTTCAGAAACGCGTCCGACCAGAAACGGCTTGCGCTCGGAGGCGTCACAAAGTGTTAGGAAAGAAGCTAAACAAAAAGATCCAGCCGCAACGCGACCGCAACGCTTCAAGCCATTCCGAAAGCGACCAAGCAATTTTCCTAGTCGGAAACCTTCTTTACGATTGAGATCTCAACAGTTTTGACCTCACAACTGCCGCCTTGTACTTTTTTCTTCGGAAGATCTTATCTTCTCTCTTTTTTTCGAAAGACAAAAAAACTTCCCGCAACAGCCTTTTTTTTGGTGCCCATTTACGGTCCACTTTTCCGAGAGGAAAAAGGTCGAAAAGTTGGGTAAACAGTTCCTTTTTGAAGTAGGCCGCGCAGTCTTGTTTTCTTTTTCCCGTGAGTGTTTTGGACTTTTATTTTACGATTTTATAAGATTTATTGGAACAGAGAGAAACTTTTCTTAGTGATTTTCATGGTAGAGAAGCAGTTTTTTGAACCAAGTTTCAAAGTTCACAACGAGGGGGAGATGTTGAGAATTGATTGAAATTACGAATTTTGAAGGATTTGAGTTTGTAGTTGGAATTGATTACGGCTAATTTTTGTAAGGGTCTTTTGAAACTAGAGATTTCGAAAAACGGAAGTTTAAGGGCACTTCTTGAGCTTATGAAATTCAATTTAAAGCCATTTTTTCGCTTGTTTTCAATTTTTTATAACTTGCTTTTATTCATTTTTTGTTTCTGAATGTTAAAAAAATGGTTTTTAAAGTCAGCAAAGACTCTGAAAATAACTTTTTTTAACATTCTAACACTGATTAAATTTGTATCCATTTTTTTGGTCGCGTTTATCCACTTTGAGTTATTTCTCGCAGTTTTTTTAAACGAGAAGGAAAAACTGGATTGAAAGCCGTTTTTTCCCCCGTTTTTCTCTCTCAATCCAAAAAAAGAACATGACGAAAAAAAAAGGAGAATTTTGCCCTGAGGGGAATTCTTTTCTTTCCCATTTACTTTGACAGAAAAAAAAGAGAAAAAAATGGAGGCTAAATCCTCGAAAAATTGTGCCAATGTAGAGAGATTTCCACGGAGAAAATCGGCTTTCGTTCGTCTTTTTTTCTCCAATTTTGGTTCCTTTTAAAGGAGGTTGAACCTTTCTCCGGAACGGATCGGCGTTTTTTTATGTGGCTTTTTTGAGGTGATCGTTAATTAATATTAGAATGATCGTTAATTAATATAAGTTTAGAAAAATTAGTTTGTCAAGGTATTTTGAGCCTTGGAAAATAATTGTCAGTTTCTCGTGTTTTTTTATAGTTTCAAAACTTGATATTACTTGAAAGAAGGAAACTATATTCAAACGATTATTGAATTTATTTAGTTCCAGGTTAATTTTCAGTTATTTTTTTACTTGAAAAAAAGTTATTTTCAACTGTTTTTTTCTGTCTGATCTACCTGAACTTAATTATAAAAAAAACTCAAAAATTAGAGAAAAAAAAATAAATTTTTTTCGGATTTTCAAGCTTTTTTCTGTCCAATTTGGTCGCCGTGTGTTTCTTCCAACGTGTCAATCTGTTCTTAAAAACCGAAAAGGGAGAAAAAAAGGACACGGACAAAGGCGCAGAAAAAAGATTCGGAGACTGCCGACCCAAAAAAAAGAGGAGAAGAAGAAGAGAGATTGAAGAAACACTGGTCATTTCCATTGAGATCTTTTTCTTCCTCCCCCCTTCTTTTTTTCCATCGCTTCGGGCGGCCGTTTGAGGAATAGGGCAGTTGTCCCTTGAGATGTTTCTTTCACTTTTCTCCCCTTTTTTCTTCTCCTTTTTTTTGGCCACCGGCGATGGACACGGATGGTAATTAATCCCGAAATGGGTTGGGAACCGTTTTTTTTCCGAATTGAATTCGGTGGAATTGAGTGAAATGGAATGGAAAGGAACCGTGGAAGAGCAATTTAAGTTAAAAGGACAAAAAAAAACATTTTGGGTCAACTTTTGTTGAAAAGTATGAGGAAAGGTCAAAGTATAGTAGAAAAAAAAATGTGGGTCTGTTTTTTTTTTCGTGAAAAGGATATCGAAAAACTTGTCAGAAATTTGAATAAAAGTTTTTCATTTCTGGTATTCGTATGGAAGAAGAGAAATACATATCTATCGGAAATTCGGAAATGTTTGATTCTTCTGAAATTTTATTAAATAGCTAATTTTTGGAAAAAAATTTCAAAAAAAGTTGATCTTCATTTTCTGTAGGTTTAAAAGGCGCATAGACAGATCCCATAAGGATTTCAAGGCGAAGAGCCATTTTTCAAGTCATTTCTGATTTTTCTTTCAAGCTCCCAAAAAGGATTTCTGAACGGGAATTGAACAAAGGAATCGACGCGTTCGAAGCCATTTTCGGCATATTCCGGAAGAACATTTGTCCGATATTCTTCTCTATTGGATTTTCTCCTTTCTCTCCTTTCAACGGCTCACTTTTGACGTCGGGAAGAGAAAGAGAAAAAATGTTGCATTCTTCAGCTTTTTTGGGAGAAAGAAGGGGGTAAATGAAATGGCTGGAGGCCTTTTTCGAAGGGAATTTGGTTCGAGAGGGATGTGTGCGGGAAATTTTCTTTGGAGTTTCTATGAGAAGATAGAAGAAAAGTCCAGGAACTGGTAGGGAAATCTCTGAGTTTCGATCTTTCGAAACTTGAACATGCCTTGTTTATTTAAAAAACTTAATTAAACCGAATTTCTATTGACCTTTCGTTTCCAAGGTTTCGAAATTTCGAAAAGTTGGGTTCAGGATAAAAAAATCATTTGTTATGAGGTATTCTTTGAAAAAAATTTGCAAGAAACATGGGAAGAAGTTGATAAATATTGAATTTTCAAAGCTGAAAATCAAGTTTTTTTAAAATTTTTGTTTCATTTTTCGATCATTTTGATATCTCATTTAAAAACCGTTACCTTTCATAAACCTATTAAATATATAATTCATAAAAGTTTATTGCAAAAGAAAGATCGTTTTTTTTTTTCAGCAAATAACGCGGAGTTCAAGAAAACAATCTTTTCGACAAATATGCCAAAAGTTTGTAATATAATCGGTTCACAAGAAGCTCATATCTTGTGTGAGAAAAAATACTCATTTCAAAAAAGGCACTATACTTTTTTCCCATGGTCGCAAGTGAAATGGTTCTAAAATGACTTTCGCCCAATGGCATAGAAGAATATCAGAGCGAACCGCAACGCTTTGAACCATTCCAAATGCGACCCAAAATCCCAAACTTTTGTTTTGGTCTTCCCGTTGCCAGTAAGTCAATAAAACCTTGGAAGACGGAACAATATTTTGCCTTTTCACCAAAATTTCCATAGAAAAAGAAAATAGAATTCCGGCCAAAACATGGCAAATTTTCACACGACGACGGGAAATTTATTTCAAAAGCCTATTTTGTTTTGTCGGCTAAAAATTGGGTTTTCCTCCCCATTTTTTGTTTTGTTTTTTCTCTTCGAAATGGGTGTTCCCGCGAGGATTTTTTGAATTTCATGAAAAAGTGGTCTCCTTCCGATTTTATTTGGCCCCCTGGATTTTCCTGTTTTGGACACTTTTTCGGATTTTTATGAGGGTATTTTTTGGGAAGTTTGAAGATTTTTGGGGTAGAAAGAAGCAAAAGAACAATTTCTACGTGGGAAAATTAGGATAAACAAGATTTTTTGTTCTGAAGGTCTTTTTGGAGCTGAAGTTCAAATTGATTATTCTTTACTAGAATCAGTTATGATGAGAAATTGGAACAGCATTTCAAAAATTTCAAAAAGTTTTGGCGCAAAAGTTTTTCGAAATTGAAAAAAAAAGAATAGTTTTTTTGAGCCTTTGATCTCGTTGATTCCTCAATAAAGCTTTTTTTTTCTCCCGCTTCCGACAATTTCTTTTTCCAATTAGGCGGCTTTTTCTGGAGCTTTACTTAATTGATTTCTGAGACGCTTAATTTGGAGTCTGAGCAAAGTTTGGGGCACAGAATGATGTGTGTTTTTTTGATTTCCTGTGGGGTCTTTGTCGAAAAAAGAAGGGAAAATAAACGGTTTTCGGAAAAAAAAAAAACTTATTTTCTGGGCTGAGGAGGATTTCTTGATTTCTGCAACCTTCCAATAATCGATTGATTTATAATAATTGGCAAGATTGAAAAAATTATAGAATAATCAGATACAAAGAAATTTCTTGTCGTTATGAGGCACTGAAATTTGTTTGAAAGCCCAAATTATGTCAATTTTTCGATAGAAAATTTGAAATTTGCAGCTTCAATGGACCATTTTCAGCTCTCCCGAGGCATCGTCGACATCTCCTTCGTCTCCCATCCTCGGGAATTCTTCAACCTCGTCGATGGCGGCCTAAAGCCGAACGAAGAGGACGACGAGAAGAAATTCAGCCTTTTAGCCCCCAGTCGATCGCCTCAACAGTTACTTCTTGAACAGCGGTAGCCTCCCAAAATCCAGCTTCATCTTCTGAGTCCCCATTTTCAGCCTCCAAGCCTCACCTAGCGTCCCGGAGACGTCGACGGCCCTGGCGACGTCTGAAGAGTCGGAGATGACGTCACAGCCGCTCCCGCTACCCAATCCACAGCTTCTGACCGCCGTCCAGCAGCAGCACCTCAACAACGTCTTCACGGCGATGCTCGCCGCCCAGAACGCCTTGGTGCCGTCGAGCACGGCGTCGAATCTTCTGACGACGTCCGCGCCGACCCCTGCCCCTACCTCGTCTCTCCTGCCGCCTCAGCTCGCCGCCTCGCCGACTTTCGTCCCGAGTTCGGAGATCATGTCCTGTCGGCTGTGCAACACCAACGTCAGCTGCAAGAAGTACGGGATTTCAAAAGTTCAAAAAGATTCAGATCTTCGTCAGAGTCGTTTTTTTAAAATATTCATATTCCTTACTTAAAAAGCTCCAATCTGGCTTCCGGATTTTCAAGATCAGGATTTTCAATTTCAGAGTTAAAAATCCGACTTTTTTTTTCAAAAGCATGGTGTTTCGATATCAGAATCTCAAGTGTAACATCCTTATTCGAAGATCACAATTTTTGAATTTAGAATCTCGAATTTGACGTCCCACTGCCTAAAGTATCACATGACGTCGTCGTTGTGGCAATGCCCAGAAGAAGGATGTCCATTTGCAGATTCGGACTACAACAAGGTGGAATTGAAAATCTCTGAGTAACTATATAAACGTCCCCATTTTACAGACGAAAACGCACATGAGGACAAGTCACGGGTCGGAAGGTACTCCCAAAGACAACCGGACCAAGGAAACGACTTTGACGACCCAGATTTTGTTGACTCAGTGCTTCCCCAACATTAATTGGGTGTGTAAAAAAAAGATTTTTTAGGGGAAAATTTAGGAAATGAATTTTGAGTTGGTTGAGCTTTGAGAGATTCTGATGGAAAATTAAGGGAAAAAAAAGGAGAAAATTAAGGTTATATTTACGACTCCTGTAGCTTTATTGTTAAATGTTAAAATCACGATCTGAAAATTTGAAAAATGAGTTTTAATTTAGTTGAACTTGGATGGACTGATTTTCAGATGAAGATTTGGGTGAAAAAATGAAAAAATTTAAAGTTTTTTTTCCATTCTTCTAGCTTTATTTTAACAGAATTTAACAGGAAAAAAAAAATTTCAAGAGGGGTTTTTCACCTGAAAATTGAATGATAGAGCGAGGGCTCTATAGGAAATTTTTAAAAACCACTTTTATGATGATAATTTTTGCAAAAGTCGTTGATTTTTCATCGATAGTTTCTAAAGGATCACAGTAAGTTGTGATTAAAAGACAAAAATTTTCTGAGAAAAATAATAAAAAGTTGAAAAATTAAAATCTTCATTTTTTTAGGTCCAAAACTACTCGCCAGAAACAGCCGAGAATAAATTTGCCGGTGAAGAAAATTCCCTGGTCAATTGGGCATCTTTTATTCCGCCACAGAGCGAATTTACCAACATAGAATGCGCCGCCTGTAATTTGAAGGTTTCAAAAAAATCGAAAAAACAAGAAAAAGTTGAATTTTCAAGGTTTCACTGAACAAAAGAAGCGTTGAGGAACACATAAATATGCTTCATGTGTATGAGAGGCCGTATCAGTGCGGATTGTGCACTTATGCCAATGTTGAGGAGGTTTTAAAATAATATTTCGTGAGAAATAGATGAAAAAGTATGATTTCAGTGGAAAGTTCGCATGCACGCGACTCTGAAGCATCCCGAAACGCCTTTTGTCAACTTTTTGAGACCCCAATCTTCTTTGAAACCGCATTTGTTCATTGCCGAGCTGTTTCCCGAACTTAAAGGTTCTTTTTTGGATTTATTCTGTTTTTTAATTTCAAGTGTACTGATTGCATAGGAAAGTTGTGCAAAGTTTAAAAATCGAGATTTTTCGAAACTTTTTCAGAGGAATAGAAAAACGAAATCGTAAAATTTTTTTAAGAATGGAGGAAGATTTTTTTGAGTTTTATCATGAAAGACAAGACAAAAAAACGGCTATTTTGAAATTGTTGCTCAAATAAGGATGTAAAGAAAGGAAGAGCTGGAAAAAAAGAAAAAAAAATTTTTTTCCAGCTTTCCTTCCCGAAGACGAGATCGACAAGGCCGTCCGCACCTTCAACACGCCCGTCTCCACGGCCCTCGCCTTCTTGAGATCCTCGGCGACGCCCGACAGCGCCGTCTCCAACCCCGAACACGCCGCTCAGCTCGACGGCGCTGAACAACCCGAGCCGCCCGTCGAGATCAAACCGATCGACGTCGTCTCCTTGTCGGCGCCGTCCATGGCCTCGTCGCCGATCGACGTCGTCGGCGGCGCCGCCACGCCCCCCATGACCCACGAGCCGACCCCGCCGACCTTGACGGCCGAGGTTTTCACTGGGGTACGTTTCGAGATGATACAAAAGGAAAATTTCTGAATTTCCCAAGATCTTCTTGTATTTTCCATGTTGTTAGGCAACAGAGGGGCATGGAAGATTGTTGAATATGTGAATTGATAGTGATCAAATAATAGATCACGTGAGAGATATCCCAACTAAGAGTATAAAAGAAGTCGGGAACTCAGATCATCATCACTCATACCGCGTCGCTTCAAGCCTCGGACTGACGACTTCTCGCCTCTCCTCAACTTCATCTTTTTACCACACCTAGTTAATAAAACTATTGTGGGGTACTCTTCTTTCTGATAACGCACAAGATACATTAAAGTGGCGATCAGGATGAGATGACCGCTCCTAAAGATTTTCGGTCCGAAGGAAACTTTAATGTATCTTGTGCGTTATCAGAAAGAAGAGTACCCCACAATAGTTTTATTAACTAGGTGTGGTAAAAAGATGAAGTTGAGGAGAGGCGAGAAGTCGTCAGTCCGAGGCTTGAAGCGACGGCGAGGCTGGAGGCGAAACGGGGGCGGTACGAGTGATGATGATCTGAGTTCCCGACTTCTTTTATACTCTTAGTTGGGATATCTCTCACGTGATCTATTATTTGATCACTATCAATTCACATATTCAACAAAGATGAAGTTCAGAAAAGTTAAGAAAGAAGTTTATGACTTTTTAACATTTTTCTCTCGATTCTTTGAGTTTTACTGAGTCGTATAAAAAAGTTCAGATCGTGGTATTTATGAAAAAAGTCAGAATCCGTCGAAAAGTTTTCTAGCGACATGAAAGAATCGAAAAAGTCGAAATTACAAAGTACATATCGAATGATACGAACGGCATGAATTTGATGTTTTGAAACGTTAAAAACTCTATGATGTGAGAAAAAAAAAATGAAAGATTAATTTGAAAAAAAATCTACTAGAAAAATAAATTGATAGATATTTAGTTTAGTTCTTGGAGTTTAAAATGAAGAAAATTCTTTGTAAGAAGTGTTCTTGATGAAGTAGAACCTTAAGGGCGTAAGATTTAAAAAACTTGATGAAAGAATATTTTTTTAAATTAGGGTTTTTTAAATTTAGTTATTATCAAACTTGAATTCATCCGATACCATTAAAATATCATTTCAAAGTTATAAAAAAAAATTTTTGAACGAAATCATGATATCTTTGATATTCTTTCAGAATGGCAACTCGTTGGAAAACCTGAAGCCAGCCACAGATTTGCCAGCGGCCGAAATGGAGAAATTCATTGCTACTCTTTTGGTTATCTCTCATTTTCCCCCTTTTTTTAAATAATCATTTTTAGGCGGTTCAATCGAGCTTGCCTCCTTCCAACGCGACGTCGCTCAATTCTGGAGTTATCCTCCATCCGCCGATGAAAAAGCGAAGAACACGGCAGAATGATGACGTCGAGAGGGTTTCCTGTGAGGTGAATGAGTGTTGAAAATATTGGAAAACAGATTTTGTAGGTTAGAAAAGTCTGAAAGACTTAATATTATTGGTTTTGGTGGGTTTTGTCCATTTTTACGTTTTTCCATTTACGCTGCGTAATGTTCATGACCTCTAAGGCCATTTGTAACGTAAATGAGCTTGAAACGCGTACCCGTACATTGGTAAAGCGAAACGGACGTGCTTCGTACGTTTCCTGGGCAATTCTAGGGACCACTTAAGAGGACTGAGGCTACTAAAGTGGTCACTAGAAATGCCCCGACACGTCCGATTCGCTCCCCGTTCGCGTTACCAAGGTCCGAGTAATCATGAATTTTTCTTTGGACGCTCATGGAAAACGTGAAAACGGAAAGTTTCAAAAGAACTCAAAAAAATTTTCCTTTTGAAAACGCTTCATAAAACCGTTGTAATTTTATTCATGAAGCCTTTAGCTAATTGCGAGATAGGTCATTAATACTTTGCAGTTCCTGAAAGGTGGCCAATTTTTTTTTTGAATGAACCAGAGGAAGTTTCTGAAACTCTCAACTTGCAAAACTTCCCATTTTTAGGAATATAAGGGCTCAAAGCCCGAAAACAGCTTATTTTGAGAACTATTTACGGTTTTCTTCGAGCTTTTTTCTCGTAAACTTGGGATTTATGCAGATAGAGACTTTCTGTATTATTTTCTGGTGCATCAAGGAACATTCTTGCCAATTTTTACAATCCCAGCCACGAAATAAAAAGACCTTCCTTATTATAAAAATAAAACCGAACAGTGAAAATTCCATTTTTCTCCCCTCAATAATCCTCACCTTTCAGGTCTGCCAGAACAAGGTGGATTCGAAGCGGACGACGCTGATCAGCCACGCCAAAACCCACTGCCAACAACGCCAATGGCAGTGCCCGTTCTGCGAAAGCAGCGCCTCGTTCCATTCCAAACTCAAGTTGCACATCGCCAACGCCCACAAGAACGACGCAGAGCCTCTCGATCTGTAGTGAGTTTGGTCGGAAAAAGGGATTGTGAGCAAAAGAGTGGTGTATTTTTGACATAATCGGCTTGCTTTAGTTGTTATTTTGATACTGACTTTAAAAAATTCAGAAATATTTATTTCTAGAGTAAGGACGTCGAAAGAACATCAATTAAATTCGACTTTCAAGATTATAAAAAAATAGGAATCATGAAAAAAATGAGCATGGGTGGTTTATTTTTTTGACATAGGGTTTGGTTGTATTTTGATCCCGGTTTTGAAAAAAAAAAAAGTTGTAGTGAGTTTGTTCAGGAAAAGATCATTTGAAAGTCAAAAATGCTGTGAATACGAGAAAGATGTATTTTTGGAATAAGTGGGTGTTTTGATTGTTATTTTGGTCTCAAATTTAAAAGGAAATGATTTTTTATATTCGGGAGATCAAAAGAAGAGTTTGAATGTTGAATCCGATACTTTGAGCAGTTGTTTTTTTGATCATAACTTCAAAAAATAACCTTTAAATTTTCGTTTTCAATTTTAATAAGTGAGAAGAGCTTGAGTATTCAACTGTTGCTTTGAGCTATTTCTAGTGTGTCAGTTTTGAATTTCTAATGAGTTTTGTCGAAAAGGGATAATTTGAAAGAATTTCAGCTCACCGGAGCTCGAAAATCAATGGCTGGTGATGTTCCGGACGTGCTTCCCGACATACGCCGAGCAGTGCTTCAAGGAGGACTGGAAGTTCCGGTCGAAGCAGCAACAGAGCTCCGGTCTCGACGATTCCTCCGTTGTCTACATGAACTCGGTGGCTAATGGTGGGTTTCGGGGTAGAATTCCGTTTTTCTCGGCTTGAAATGGTACAGTGTGGCAGCCGGTTTAAAATCTATCACATTAGAAAATTCCTTCTGGGGAAACAAATTAGCTGGACCTCGGTAATTTTAACCGTAAGCGTTCCGGACGTATCAGAGCATTTCTAGTGACCTCTTTAGTAGCGTCAGCTCTCTTAAGTGATCCCTAGAACTGCTGAGGTCCGAATATAATTATATTTATTTGCGCTTTTGAGATTTCAGAAAATCTTTTCAACTTTATCTAGGGTTTTTTAACGAATTTGAGACTTTTTAAAGAAAGCTTCACTTCAAAAAAGAGAAAAAATAAAAAAATTTTGACTTCAGAAGGTGCCGAAATGCCGAAAAGAGCCCTTTTATTGGAAGGTCTGATCACCCCCAGCAACTCGCCTCATCTCAATGTTCTTCCACAAAGAATGCCTACGGTTTGATGGTTTTTCTCCTATTCTTCTGTAATTTTTGTTTTTTCTCTTGTCTGTCATCTATCACTGTAAATGTAATGTATTGCTTGTAAAAGAGTACCTTTTTTCTTCGTGTTTTTCCCCCCTTTTTTTATATCTATCCAATTTTATTTATTGGAACCGGACAGTTTTACCCAGGATTTTTCGTCTTCAAATGATCTGAATCGCATCGATTTTTCTTCCCTTCTTTCAACCGCAATCTACCTTTTTTTCCTCTAAACGAGTTATATATATTTATTTATTTTTCCGCAAGAGCCATTCTCAATCAATCAAATATTGGTTATCACTTATTTTTTTCCCGTGCTCATCTTTTTTTTCGACTTTTTTTGATCTCGTCTTTCTTTCGATTAAAATGTAATAAAAAAATTATTTCGAAACTGATTTTTTTCGAAGATTATGCGGTGTTTTTTTGCATTGAAAATGGGATACTTGAATTTGTCTTCTGAAATTAATTTTTGGCTATTTTTTTCGACAAGTTTGCTCCAGCGAACAAACGCGGAAAAGAAGGCGTGGCTAGCCAATTAGAGAAAAAAAGTTCGCTGGAGCGTACTTGCCATTTCCTCTCAAAAAAAAGCTCTAGAAAAAAACAATGTTTATAAAAACCTCTTTAACATGAGCAACACTTTATTTTCCATTATTAGGCGAAAAATATAGCAACTAATCAGAAAGCATGTAAGCAGTGATACAAAAAAAGTCAATTAAGATTTTCCCAATGGCGTCAGTTGAGAGAGGGCGCTGATTCGTTGGCCACGCCTTCTTTGTTTTTTTGAAGGCGTGGCTTGATTTCTACTGATAACATGATAGGCTCTAGGAAGAGTAATAGAAAAAGGGAACAGGAAGTTCAGTTGTTGTGGGCGGAGCTTGTTTTGGGCCAAGGAACGTGGGACGATTTTCATTTCTTGCCGAGGCGTCCGTCGTGGTCTGGAACATTGGTTTTTTGATTTTTCAAGAAAAATAATCTGGAGCATTTTTAGGCTTCTTGAGAGCTTAGAAGGTCTTTTTTTAATTATTTGGATCGGTCTGAATTTTTTAAAGGGGAGGATGGCCTTAAGGAGATTGACTATTATTTATTTGATACTAAAAAAATGAATTTTCGGAAATTTGAACAAAGAAAAGTTGTTTCGAAGTTAAAATCAAGCATCAGAATCAGTAAAAATAAGTAATTTGAAAATTTTATGCATTGATTTTTGAGAAACTAAGCAGTTTTGAAGGTTGAGACTGTCAGGATTTCAATATAGTACATTGAGAGTCATTTTGGAGGTGTTTGAGAAGTTTCTGAAGTTTCAAGCAAGAAAAGTCCCCAAGGACTAACGTTGGTAGGACGGCGGCGGCGGATGGAAGAGGTCGTCGTAGAGCGGCGGGGCGCTGCCGACGGACGAGACGTCGTCGTCGCTGTCGACGGCGGCGTTCCGCGTCATCTGCAGCTTCTTCTCGTGCTGCATGTACTGCAGCTCGTCCTCGATGCTGCCGAACGACACACCTTAAGTGATCACTTGGAGAGGTGTTCTTTGGGTCTTATGCTTAGACAAATAGGAAGGGTCTTTCAAAAATCTATCGGGGTAAAAGAAGGATGAAAGGTGGAACACCGATTTATCGAACAATCTATAATTTATTGATTTATTGATTTATTGATTTATGATAAAAATGTAAAAGCTTGATCCACTTGAAATCGCACTGGTAACTTCAAAACTTTAGATCCAAAAATGGAAGAAAAAAAAATAGTTGTGAATGAAACAATACTTAAAACGGAAAAGTTTCTTAATTTTGAATATTTTACGTAACTCCAGAGTGGTCTCTATAGGGGCAACCTTTGGGCTTTTGAAGGCTCCCCTCTAGTGACCGCTTTACAGACCCCTTTAGGGACCGCTCAAGTTTTACCTTTATAGGGGACACTTTTTTGTCCCCTTTAGGGGCTGATGTTCCCTCTAAACCCTCATAGGGACCACTCTGGCGTTCCTGAGCTCATTATCTTTTTTGAACTTGATTTTTTCTGTCGTTCATCTTTTTTTTAGGTTTCGAGAATCTGAAGTTACCGAAGTTCGTTAGATTTGAAGTGGAAAAGGTACAATAAAATTTTTTTGAAAGCTCACGGCAAGTTCGTCTCCGGCCGAGATGTTTCTGGATGTTGTTTTGGGTCCTATAAATCGAATAATTTCAAGTAATCACTCCAGTAGACACTCCCACCTCTTCTCAAGTAGTTCCTTGAGGGCCAAGAATGGAACGGTAATGGCCAAAGCGGCTCCAGAAGCGACCACGACAACTGACGCCATTGTGCGGGGCGTCTAAAGCACTAATTCCGACAACGTGCCGACAATCAAAGGGTCGATGCTCGTCGCACGACCTGAAACCATCTCGTGGTCAAGTGGCTAGGCAGCTTGGTTGTAGATACGAGGGTTGAGGGATCGGATCCAGGAGTGAATTTTTTGAGCGGATCATTTTAGAAACTTGGTTTTTCTCCTTGAGAAAGACAGTCTTCTAACACCTTATGGCTTCAGTTTTCTTTTACTAATTACGACATAAGTTCCGCCTTGTGAGTGTAGATTTTTTGTTGGTCAAGTGGCTAAGAGCCTTGATAGTGGATAAAAAGGTTGAGGGTTCGGATCCTGGACTGGCCTTTTCTTATAAGATTTCAGTTTTCTTTTACAATTTTCTGGCCTTTTGAGCGCAGATTTCTTCTTGATCGATTGGCTAAGGGTGGATAAAAATGTTGAGAGTTCGGATCCGGGAGTAAACTCAATTCCAGAACTTTCAACGAAAAATAAACTTGGCAAGCGCCTTTCCATTGAACTCACAATTTTTTTTTACTGCAGAAAAAACACTACTGCAACATATTTATTTATCCATTGTTGTATTTGATACAAGCTTGAAACGTAGGTCACCCACCTCGCTAGCCGAAATCGTCGTTGTTCGAGGCGAAGTAGCGGTGGAAGTCCGAGCGAGCCAAGATTGTCAGTGGGGGTGGGTTCAGAGACCTGTAATCAAGGGAAAATTGGAATTTTACTAGAAGCGAATTCTGGAGACTCAGTGTTGGATTCTAAACCATCAGAGAGATAAGATGTTCAAAAGCAAAGAAAAACGTCCAGGGACCTCGGTAACGAAAGATCGATTCACTTCGGAGGTTTCTGAGGATCTGAGGCGGGTGGTTCTAGGGTCGTTCGTGAAAAATCAGTGGGTTTCAGTAGGTTTCGGCTTTTTTTGGGGTTAACTAGTCAGTAGAATGATAAGTTTTCAAGTCAATTGATATGGAATTTTGTCAAAACTTCCGGATTTTTTAACCATACTATTTTTGGCAAAACCAGAACAGAATGTACAAAAAATGTGGAAAAATCGGAGGTAAACTCGTGATAAATAAATAAGAACCGATCGATTTTAGTGCTGTTTGATGATTTCCTAATAGTTTAAAATCAATAAGTTGGTTGAAAATTTAGTAGTTCTTAGAATTTTTTGAAATAATGTGAGCAAAAACAAAAAATATATACAGTAGCCCGAGCATTATGAGAACGAAAGTGGAGGTTTTTCAAGGACAGGATGACAATGACTTTTTCAAGAGACACCCATATAATGAAAAATGACTCACGGAAACAGGCCGAACGCGGGTGACGCTTAGGGGTTACCTAGGCGAACAGAAAAACGGCTTCAGAAGAAGTGCGACGACGTCGGTAGGAGAAGTAAGGGTTGACGGAAGGGAAGAGGAAGAAGTGGAGACTGGCCCGGTCGTCGACAAATATATATGGACGGCGACCGATTGCCTATGCAAATCTGAGGGACGCGATAGCACGCGACGCACGACGGATGATAGACGGATGATAAAGGCGAGGCGATCGGGTCACACGCAAGAACCTCCCTTTCTCTGGTTCAAGAATCCAATATAGTCCGCTTTTCCGACTTGAAAGGCGAAATGAGAAAATTGGCAAGGGCGATGCGTTGCGTACGCGACGCGGCTATCCGGCGGGAAACTCGAGATCAAACCACTTTTTATTCCCCTTTTTTGACAGTTTTTCAATTTCTTTTTATTTGTTATCGTTTTGAAAAAGCTGGAAAAATGTAAGTATACAAATAATAAAATTTTTTTTCGAGTTTCCCCGCTGAAAAGCCGCGTCACCCTTGCCAATCTACCTATCTCGCCTTTCAGCTCGGGAAAAATTGACTATGAAAGAAAATGATCCCGAAAACCTCCACCTGCATAACTTCCTAGTTTTCGAGAAGTTAAGGCTCAAAGCCCCAAAATGACCTATTTTTACGTTTCTTATTTAACTTGAAAGGAATATGGGCAGTAAAAAACGTGATTTTCGGTGACAGCTGTATCTCTTAAAGTCATTTTCTCGGACGCTAGAAAGAGTTCGAGAAGAAAAGTCTTGAAATCGGAACGATCTGGTTGGCGACGTAGAAGGGTTTGGGTAAAGGCTAGACACAGGCGAATCGAGAAAGTACCATAATTTTTCCACAAAGGTACCTTTCAAAATGGATCGTGAAGGCCCCATAATGTGTCCATCGTGAGACCTCCGGCATACCTTTTCCTGAGCCATCTCGGAGCTACTAGAGTCTCTCTCATTTCGCTCAAAATCCTCAGAGGTATCCTCGAGGTACCATCGTGAGACTTCAGAGCCTGCGATATACCTCACAGGGTCTCGCGATACCATTTCTCGATTCGCCTATGGAAATTTTTCAGCAAGGAGTTGGTTCAGAAAGGTTTCTTCTCAGGATTGGTATAAGATTCAAGATTCGATCGTCACGACTTTTTTTTTAGCCCCGCTCTTGAATTTCCGATGGAACTTGGCTGGAAAGTAGATCAAGATTTTTTGATTCTAGAACAATAAGAGAATTTATCGATATGGATTTTTTTTTCGAGTTGAGAAGCTTCGATTTTCGCAAATTTCACTCACAAAATAAGCGATCACAGACCTCGTAAACATAGGAATTTTTTAATCAAGTTGAAATGTTAGATAACTATTTCTTGAGAAGTTTAATAAGAACGCGAAATTTGAGTGACGCCAATGAGAAGATTACCGAGAAAGTACAACTGAACCGTCTGCGTCAACAGAACGTGAGAAACTCACAAAAACAATCATTTCAATGTTTAGACTTTGAAATTTTTATCTTTAGGTTCTTTGAACTTTTTTCTTTGAAAGACAACATATTTTTGAAATTTACATTGAAAAATGAAGTTATAAAAGCGGAAAAACCCAATTTTTTTTCCCAAATTTTCGCCCAATTTTCCGACGAGACCCCTTGTGACTTATGAGACTTCATTCTTTAAATGAAAAGAGTGTTCCATCTTTTCTCCAACCGTTTTTCTTGTCCAGAATTTTATGGCCAAGCGTCATGGAAACAATATGGATTTTGCTCAAAAAATACGTGTCCTGGGACTGAATAACATTCGGAATTTGAATATTTAAAGCGGTCATACGTTCATTTTCGTCATACTTCTTCCGCTTTCGGAACTTCTCGTGCTTTGGTTTGCGAACTTTCTGCTGATGACGCAGGCGGAACTAGTTTTTGTTTTTGATGATGTGAAATCGCGCATTGCACAGATCAATACAATTGGGGAAATGAAACGGATACTGCATTTTTTAAAAATGAAAAGGAAATAAATTGAATGGTTAAAAAAATATGTTTTGCAACTTCAAACTTCTGATCAGTACTATTTTGAAACAGTTAATTTATAAGAAAAATGAACCCAAAAAGCTTTTTCCCAAGCCTTCTGAAAGTAATTTATCTTACTGTGATCCTCTTGGCCGCAGAGCTTTTTCCGTGAAGATTACAATGCACAAAACACGCCGTTTTTGGAAGAAGTAATCCGCGCGAAATTTATTTTCAAATTTTCGTTTGGTTTTTCGCGTCTTATGTTATTTTTTACTAGTTTAATAGTTTCCCTATTGTTTATAAAAATTCAGAAAGGTGTTTAGTTTTGATATTTTAAAGCTTTCTGTCGATCTTTATTTGTACATTTGGAGTAGAAAAGGAGCAGTTTCTTTCTAAAACCCTTTTGTGTATTTTTTGCAGGTTGTATATTTTTTTCACTAATTTTTCTTTGGTTTTTTCGTTCATCAAAAATAGATTCTACATATTTCTTATGACTTATGGGTTACTTAAATTTTTTTGGACAATCATTTTTAATGAGACTCCTTATTTTTATCTTTTTTTCGTTGTTTAAAAAGATTAAACAAACTCTTTTTACTTTTTTTACAATGAGTATCGAATTATATATGTAATAAACGTTAAGAGAAAACTATAAATCAAATTTTTTTTCTTAAATAGAAACGTTTTTCGTGACATTTATTTTTCATTGCATTGAAATCGCCTTTGCAGCTTTTATTTCTGATGTAAGACAGATGAACTTGATGTGTTCTTATAAAAGCTTTCAAAGCGAAGCGAAAATTGTGAATCATCGACATGTTGTCACTTTTCCTCCATTTCAGCGCCGATTTTTTACTTTTGAACATAAGAAAAGTTTAAAATCCGCGTTGCAAAACTGAGAAATTTTTCAAAATTACTGTTTCTTGAGTTGTTTTTTATGTTGAGCCAAGCAGAAAATTCTTGTTTTCAAAAGGCAAAACGAACTTTTTAAATTCATTTTGGGAGTATGAGCCATTTTCGAACATTTGTTCTGTGGATTGATTTTGTTTTAAAGTAAAGTGAAAATTTTTCTTTTTGAGTTTAAAACTTATTCATTCTTAGGACAGATAACGAATATTGTGTTGTTTGCCTTGTTCACAGGAAATTCTTTTCCAGTAGTTTTTTTTTCATTTTTTATTAAATCATTCAGCAATTTTTTTTCTTCGGCCGCCATAAAAACCAGCAAAAAAAATGATTGATGAGGCTAGGAAAATCTCATATTGAGAAAGTTAGGCTTTTTTTCTTAAAAGGTTTTACGACCGCCGCAAGAAATATTTTTAGATTTTTTCTGCCATTTAGAAGCTTTCTGTTCACCCAAAACCTTTCTAAATCGAAAAATGTTTACCATTTTTTTTCTCCAATCGTTCAGCAACGTATCCTCCTTTCCTCACTACAGAATCCCGCAAAAAATGATTGATGAGCCGAGTGCATACGAAAAGTCGTACAACACCGGCGCCGTAGTGGCTTTAAACTCTTGAGCACCTCTCCCGGAGCCATTTTATTACACATAATTTCTTGCGGCGGTCATCTCCGCGGGTCATTCCCGCAATTTGTCGTCCCGCCTTGAGGCTTTATTGCTTTGCCTGGATTTTTACTGGGTTTATTGAGCTTCTAAGCTCCTTTTTTTGGCCATGTAAGTTTTCAATAATGAGAATTTTTGTGAGTTTTTTTAGATAGGGGTTTAGGAAACGTTCTCGCAGTTTTACTCTTGTACAATCTTTTTTAAATTTGAGTGAAAAAAATGTTAAAAATTATGAAAAAAATCAGGGATTGAAAATGGATAAAATTAATCAAACATAGGAAAAAAAGATGGTTTTCATGGTTTCGAGTTTTCAGATGCTCACAATTTCAAGTGGAAAATGTATTTTTCGTTCTGCATTATGATTAGAAACCTGTTAAAAACCTGGTTTTTTTCGACTTTTTTTAAAAGTCTTGAATGATTTGAAAAAGCGTCTCGTCGCCTCGAGACCTTTTTACAAAGAATGTATTTATGCGCCTTTAAAAAAATTACAACATCTTTTTTTAACGACTTTGTTTGTTTCTAAGCTTCTTATGCATTTTTTTCATTTATACTTTGTATTTTTTTCCATTTAAATTTTCCGTGATTTTTAGGGCTAATCAAAGAAAATGGGTGAAGTATTGCCGGTGGAGACTCATTTGGTGCGGGAGGAGATTGAAAAGTTGGTCGAATCGGTGAGCTTGAACGAGCTGACCAGTGGCAAAATCCGCAAACATCTTCAGGTTTCCTCTAAAAATATAAATTTTGATGAATATTTCGGCGGTTCAGGACAAATTCGACAAGGATTTCGCCGAGTTCAAGGCCGTCCTCAATGAACTGACGAAGAAAGCGATCGAAGCCTTTCAAGCGAAAAAAGCGTCGTCGACAGAAAGTTCGGACGATTCTGATGATGATGATGAAGTGTAGGTTGATCACGATTTTTTGCGGCATTTTGGGAATTTTGGACGGATTTTGATATTTTTTCGTGCTCTTACTCAGAGTTTTGTTTTTTGGTGTTTTCTCGATGTTTTTTTCGAATTTTTTTCAATGCGTTCATTTTGAAGCGAACCGTAAAAAAATATTTTTTTCTTGTTTTTTTCAAAATTTTTGCTGGAAGTTTCACAAGTTTTTGTTACAAGTTTTATTGTAAGAAAAAAAATATCTGTTTTTCATCTCTTAAAAATTATTTTCTGAGCTAGAAATTTTTGACAAAACTGTTTGTCCTTTATCACCTTTTTTTAGCAAAGGGATTTTTCTTATTTTTATTATGGATTTTTTTCAGAATTGTTCAATCTTCAACATTGTACGCTTAATTAGAAAATTCAGAGATTAGGCTATAAATCCTCGGAACTTTTCACAAATTAAAATAATAATAGAACTTGTAAAATCGTCATTTTTACATGAAAACTGAAACTTTTTTCAATTTCTCACGAATAAGCTCTCTTTTAGAGCAAAACCGGCTGAAGCCGAGGTCACGTCGACTTCTGAAGCAGCTGGAAAGGCTTCAGAATCGGATTCCGATTCGGATCACGGCTTGGCTTCGACCCAGAGAGCCAAGGCGACCAGAGGAAGGAAGAGAAAGGTGAGATTCAGGACGAAAATGATTTGAGATTTATTTTACGTCATAAAGGACTGTGTGAGAAAAAAGTGCAGCTTTTGCGCAAAATCCTTTTAAAGACCGGAAAATGTACCTTCTGTCATCTTCCTTGAGAAAAGTCTGAAAAGATGGAAAAGTCTAAAAGAAAAAAAAATGGAAGTACCATTTTTTTTTCAATTTTTTATTCACTTTTCCGCAATCTGGAAAAAGATTCTTTGAATAAAATCTTCCAAATAAAGAAAATTTGCAGGCGAGCAACGACGGCGACGACCTGGCGACAATCGTGAAGTCGTCGCGTCGCGAGGCCGCCACTCGCGCCAAACAGAGCATGCGGAAAAGCGCCGGATTCGCCGGCCGAATCGCCCGACAATCATCCTCGACGAAGGAGAAGAAGGACTCGGACAAGATCGGCCCCAAGACCAAGCTCTCCTGGGTCTCGCCCGAACTCCAGATCATCGTTGGCAAACCCTACACTCGTCGCTGCGATGTTAGTCTTGGCCAAGTTTATAGGGAGGAGAATTCTCTTTTTTGCTGGAAAGTTAGCCGTTTGGGTAGATACGCGGGACTTAAAAGAGACCTGTGTGAGGCTAAAACTTTCGTTTCGGGTGTTCGTATGAAAAACGGGCGAGAAGCGGGTGTTAGTGGTCAAAAAGAGAGCTGGTTTTAGGACTCTTTACCAAAAATTTATCAAATCCTTTTTTGCGACATTTTTTATATTCTAATAAATGGAATTCCTTTACTTTTCAGATCGTCAAATCGATGTGGAAATACGTGAGAGAGAACGATCTCCTCGACCCAAAAGGACAAGCGATTCGCCATCTGTGACCCGACTTTGTTCAACATTTTCAAGAAGAAACGCTTCCAAGTTTTTGGGTTCGTTTTTGATTTTAAAAAAAACAGGCTGAAGGGCTCTTCTTTTTCAAGAAACGACTTTTCGGCTCTTGTTCTCTATTTTTGCCGCTCATCCTGAGTTATTTGTATGAGATTCTGCTCGAATTGGCTCATTTTGTCTCTTCTTTGCAACATTTTCAGGTCCCAATACGAAGAAAATGTAGCATCCTGTCTGTAAAAGATCATATATATCATTATTTTGGAGTTAATCATTTAATTAAAAAAATCAAAATGTAAAAACATTGCTCCTCAAAAAACGAGTTCCGAACCAATTTTTGTCTCTTTTTTGGGAGATTTTTCACCATTTTGCTGTTTCAGAATGGCGAGACATCTGAGCAAGCACGTCCGCGAGCCGCACGACATGGGCCAGGAGTACATGGACGAGGCCGAGGAGGAGAAACGTCGCCAGATCGCAGAGTACAATGTTCGTAAGAGAGGAAACCGTTATATCACTTTAAAATCTATTTTTAGCTCGGAAAGATCTTATCTCTTATCAAAAACATAGTTGAGAAAAAAAAATGGTGAATCAAGTTTCGAATACGAGTTTATGGGAATTGAATTCCCGGATTTTGTACGTTTCGTAGGAATTTCATTAAAGAGAACGAAACGAATGAAATGTTTTATTACCTCTCTGAACTTTTCGGCTGATCTAATCTTTGGAAACTAAAGAGCGTTCATAGAAAGCAGGCTTTTTTTTTCTCTGAACGCTCTCTTGTTAACCAATACTCTCTAACATTCGAAGGTTCTGAAAATCTATTGACTTTTTGTTAACTTGTAACAGAATAATTGAAAAGTCTTGATTCGAAATCGATGTCGGTATTATTAATTCGGAAAATTTAAAATATGATCGAGTTTTGGCTGTTTTTACAGTAATAAAATCCGTAAGAATCTTTGAATGTTAGAGAGCGTTCGAAAAATGAGAGGGCGCTTTTATTTTTTTCAAATTTACCGTTTTTTTGTTAATTTAGAACATGATAGGAGAAAGATTTTTGAATTAAAAATCGTTTGGATCACTATAAATTTTCTGAAAATTTTAAGATTACATCGATTTTTCGGCTGTTTTTAATATTAAACGACTTCGTTCACTGAGCCTTTTTTTAACGGAAAAAAATAACAGAAGATTGATTTCAAAAATGTATTTTTTTAGGCGAGACAGCAAGAAAAAGCTGACGAATCGGGATCGGAAGGTGCTGGAGGGGAAGACAGTCGTGGCGGAGCTGAATCTGAAGGAGAAGCCGTCGCTGAAGAGTCCGACTGAGACCCCTGGTTGTTTTTGAAACAGAAATCATAGATAAGGAAAATTCGAAAAACTAGCATTTTTCTCTGGTTTTATCAGGTTGGATTTGTAATTAAAAAAAAAGGTAGATGTCCCTTATTTTTCTCGTTGTTGCTTGTAGAAATCTTTTTAATATCATTCAAAAAAATGATCTGAGAAAGTAAAAAAAGGATTTCGATATTATACGTTTTAAAAATGGCCAAAACGGGGAGTAATATCAGAAAAATGCCTCAATTTCGACGATTCTGGTTTTGAGTGATGTTTTAAAAATCCAAAATTTCACGAGAAAAAGAATAATAACCTGATGCAAATCGAATCGATATTTTTTGTTAGTTTACCGGATTCGAAACCCCCAAAAAGCCCTTGAAATTGTTCCAAACACTTCTGAAAATGAGCCTCTTTTAGCCTCCTCGACGCTCAATTCCCCAATTGGGATTATTGACATTATTCACAAGCTGGCACCACGAAAAGCTTGACACTTGTTCTTATCGCAATATTTTTGAGTTCCCTGGCTTCTTGGTCTTTTTTGGGATTTTAAATTGATAAATTGGTTGAGTTTTATTCCAAAATTTGGATTTAGCTGGTTTCATTTCGCTTCGAAGGAATAGTTTTGTTAGAAAAATGCGGTTTTTTAGTCATTTTTTTAAGTTCTGAATACTTATAGCGGATTAATTTTCATTGATATTATCGTCAAAAGTTCCCGGGTTTCATTTCAGAGTTAATTTTGAAGACATTTGGAGTTTTAGTTTTTTTTTCCATTTCAGTACTTTTTCGATAACTGTTTTTTTCGTTCAGTGAACCTTTTTTTGTTTATGTTAATGTTTTCTATTTATTCAGATTCTTTTTGAAACTTCAGTTTAAACCGAATTCAATGTTTCATAGCTTTTATTTCAGTTCTAGACTAGATTTTTGCATATTGATAGGAACTGTGACATCTGCCCTCTTTATGGATACATTTCACGCCCATTTGTATGCAAAAAATCGGTCACATCTGCTTCTTTTTGGCCTTTTTAGGATTGCTGGTTTATGAATCGTAAATTAGTCATGAGCCCTGTATTCTTTCGATTTTTGAATCAATTATCCAAACTTTAGAGCTCCGTAGTACTAAAAGAAGGATGAAAAATTGAAATTTGGGCTCATTATCATTAGTTCAATAAGGGAAATGAAAAGGCTCAGTAGTTAAAACAGCATTTTCCAATTTCTAGACTTTTTTTTCACATTAAAATTTTAGTTTTAAAATAATGATGTTTTACTGGCTTTACAGCTTCACTTTCGGTATTTAAGAAAAAATGCACCAAACTCCCGATTTCCTCTTTTTTCAGTAAGGTTGATTTTTTTCAAAAATATTATCTTTTTCGTCTTCAGAGAACCTTCAGAGTATTTTTATTGGAGGTACATCATTTTTTTGATACCTTTTCAATCAATTCAAATTTTATTTTTCGAACACACAAGTACTAAAATTCACGAAATAGATGTAGGGAGAATTTTCCTTAAATTTCCCAAAAAAACGGTTTTCAAATGATTTTCGAGAATGTTTGCTCGCAAAACTTTTTCTTCCAAGTTTTCCTTTTCCGGTTTTTTCGAACAACTGAAATCTGATACCTTTGGTCGGATGAAAAGGTCTGAAAAATCGTGTTTGTCGATTTTTTTTTTGACGGTTACCTGGGAAGTTTTGAGCTCTACTTTCAAATTTTTAGCATTGAGCATGAAATTGTTCTTTTTTTATGATCTTTTTCCAGGCTTTCTCACTTTTGTTAAATTATTTTTTTGCGTATCAAAAAAAAGTAATAAAGTTTTTTAAATTAAGAAAATGATCCAGTAAAGTGACTTCGGAATTTGGGAATAACCGAATTTCATTTTTAATTTTTGGGTGAATTTGAAATATTGTGATTTATCGATTTTTCTCTTCGAAGAGCCGCGATTTTTTTAATAAAATTCCTTTTTTTCAGTTTTTTTACGGCTTTTAGCATCTTTCTCTTGAACTATGTATGAGTATAAAAAAATCGTAGCCCGAAAAAAATATTTTTTAAAGTTGAAATAATGTCCCAATAATTCCAAATTTTCAGATGTGCATTCAAACAAGATCGTCATCATCGATTCTCCTTTTTTGCAGCAAAATAAATTGAATTTTCTCATGGTTTTTATCGTGTTGTTGTTGTTGTATAATACGGTTCTATTCATGGATCATTTGAAAAGCCCTTCTTTATGTATAATCTACAGATTTTTATGTTCCTTTTGATATAGTTCATTCGTCGGGACTCGATACAGTCTGACCTATCTGCGCCCTCTTTTCTCTCGAGGTTAGAGAAATAAAAAGATAGAGCGTAAAGAGGAGAGCGGAGACAGAAATGCTTGTTTCGACTTCTGACGAGTTGATCATATATGAGAATATAGCAGTATTTTTCATGGCTTGGAAAAAAGCTTGATTTTTATCAAATTTTTGAATTTCCTGTTGCTTTTTTCTCATTGCTGTTCCTATCGTGTTGCTTTTTTTCTTGTTTTTCTTATATATCCAAAAAAAAATTTAAATATTTATTCCTTGTATTTTCCCCCATGCATTCGTTTCCGTTCTGTTTTACAAAAGTTCATTTGTTCATTACAGATGTGATAATAAATAAGTTATAGAAGGTTCTTGTTATTTTTTCGTGATTATTGCTTGTCGGTTTCTCAAGCTTGATTTATTTCTGAAGACTTTTCGAATTGATTGGAAGAATTTGAAGTTTGAATTATATACCCTATAGAGGCCACTCAAGCTTTGAAGGCCCTAAAACCCTATAGGGACTGTTTTTTTTCCCTAACTTCTATAAGAACCACTCTGGCATCCCTGAGTAGAGGTAAAAAGCCCCAAAGTTCCCAAGGAACTTGATTAAATCGGAAAACGTTTCCTAAGAAATTTCGCTGATCTTCACTCCGGCCTCACTTTTCACGTTCCCTCCTTCTATTGTCCTCCCAAAGCCGAACCAAAACAAATCCGTCTTCCCGAGACAATAGCCGAGGAACATGTCGGTTTTGGCGAGGTAATTGGGCAAATTGCCAAGTGGCCCGCCCGTCACCCGCGCAATCCCACCAAAATATGGACCTCTTTTATGCCTTTTTGGCTTCCCTTTTATGTCCTTTTTTGGCGGTTTAATGGTGGCAATCTAGTATAGTGGGCTCTGTAGCTTTAAGATTCTTTGCATATATAGTCAATGTTTCCCGAGTTGAAAGGCGAGGGAGGCGGGACGCGTAGCGTGTGCGTTCGCGGTTTTTGGCACGTGCTCAGTTCAACCGCCACCGACTCTTTGAAAATCCCGTTTTTCGCTTTTTTCTTTCCTTTTTCAATTATTTATTGATTATGTTTGTGTGCATCAAAAAATAGTAGAAAAAATTTAAAAAAGAGCGGTTGCCGAGCTTTTTAAATAGTCGGCCGCGATTTAATTGAACTCGTGCCAAGAACCGCGAACGCACACGCTACGCGTCCCGCCTCCTTCGCCTTTCAAGTCGGGAAACATTGACTATACTTTTCGGCATAGGCGAATCGAGAAATGGTATCGCGAGACCCTCGGAGGTATATCGCAGGCTCTGAAGTCTCACGATGGTACCTCGAGGATACCTCTGAGGATTTTGAGCAAAATGAGATTGGAGGGATCCTCTGATGTACCTCCGGGATGGCTCAATAAAGGTATGCCGGAGGTCTCACGATGGACACATTATGGGGCCTTCACAATCCATTTTGAGAGGTACCTTTGTGGACCCATTATAGTACCTTCCCGATTCGCCTGTGGGACTGTTCTTTTTTGGCATGTTGTACAAATTTTGGACTGTTCAAAAAAGAAGAAAGTTCCTGAACCTATAGGATCATCTTTTGCTTCTCTGATCTTTTTTTGCCATCCTTTTATGTCCTTTGTTGGTGCTTCAATGGTAGTATTTCAGTATAGTGCTCTGTAGCTTGGACTTGGTGAGACTATCTTTTTTCAGTTTTCACATTCATTTTGAACTTTTTCAATGATTTTTGTTAGATTCTCATGTCATTTTGGAGGTTCTCCGATAAAATAAAGAGGATAGTTTATTTTTAATGTTTCTAAGCGATCATAAAATAAAAATTTTTTTAATTCAATGTTTTTATTAAGAGTAAGAATATTACGTTTGAAAGTTGTATAAGTCCTTCAATTTTTAAGGGTTCTATTTTTGCTTTTCGGAACTTTTTATGTCGTTTTAACGAACCTTTTTTTGTCTTTTTTTGTATTTTTGAGACGATTAAAAAGGTATTTCACTAGGATTTTGCGTAGATTTGAAGTGAGAAAGGTTCTCAGTACATTGTGATTTTTTTTTCTCTTCTTTTTTGGACCTTTCCCATGTTTTTTATTGGCTGATATCATGCCATTTTGATAATTTTTAAATTATTTAATGAAAAAATATTGAAAAGGATTTCATAAAAGGCGCGAAAAAAACTATTTTGCTCCAAGAAAAAAAAATTAAAAAGAAAATACTTCAAATTGAGCTTTTGACATTTTAAAAATTTCTTCATACATCTGAGGGACTAAAATTTTTAATATCCTTTCCTTCAGCATAAAGCGTTCCTTTTTCGACTTTTTCAAAGCCAGCTTCTGAAAATTTTGTTGAACGGCTCTTAAAAAGACACCTCCAGCTTTTCCTGATCATTGTGAAAATTTTTGAACTTTTTCTGAGCGATTTTTTTCTAAAATCCTTGATCCCACGAACTGGAAAACAACAACTTGTAGTGATTTATCGTGCGATTTGGCAGCTTTTGGCGAGGTTTTTGTGTGCGCGAAAAGCTTAAGAAACGGATTATGGGGCGGTTTGAAGGGGTCGCAATTAGCCGAGGTTGTCATTAATTCATGGGGCCACCCCCGATTTTCCATGGCTACGACCTCGGCCGGTTTCCGGCATGGTTTCGGGATACCTGTCTGTTTTTTTGAGCAATTATAGGGTGTTCTTGTTGGAATTATTAGTGAGATTCGTCGTTTTTGTGAAAGAGAAAA